ATGATTACACATTAAACTCTCTCAAACTATAACTGTTATTACCCAATGAACAAGAAAAATGAAGTACAAAATAACTGAACTATCTTCTGACAACACGATGTTGGATAAGTAGCATTTGGTAGGATTTCATGTTTTTAGACTGTCTTGAGTTCATATTGGTCGATCCTGCTGAGCAGCTGAAGCTTCAGCTTGTATATATCCTTTTCCCTTTGGTGTACTTGATCGCGATATGAAGTTTATTTTATTTTATTTGGTTCACCTATATTACCGCTACTATTCCCCGTCGTTCATTCCCTCCAGCATGGCCGCGGGACTAGTGTTACGGAGCAAATATGACGTCACTGTAATGGGTTAATACAAATACCAATGCCACTCAATGGGAATGTTCTAATTTCAAGACATTATCACTTGCAAGAATACAGTATCTGAAAAATTCACAGTTGTTTTTACTGTACACAGGCAATGAGTAAGAAGACAATCATCATCACAGGTGCCAACACAGGTATTGGATTTGAGGCTGCCAGAATACTGTGCAGATCAGGGGACAAGTATGAGGTGATCCTGGCCTGTAGATCCGAGGAGAAAGCCCAGGCAGCTGTGAAGGCTATCAAAGAGGAGAGTCCCAATGCAGATGTCATGTTTATGAAAGTAGGTTATTAATGGTGATTTAATGTGAGCTCATCAACTAAGATAGGTTTACTGGAAGTCTCTTGTGAATTTGTGATTTTTTCCCAGGCTTTTGCACCTACATGTACCCCTGTCACTTCCTGCTGAAATTGGCTAGACAGAATACATTCAGCGGGTAGGTCATAATGCTTTGTACAGGTGTGTGTGTGTGTGTGTGTGTGTGTGTGTGTGTGTGTATGTGTGTGTGTGTGTGTGTGTGTGTGCAGCTACATGTGCAAGTGCATGTACCTGTATCTATGTGTTTGTCTATACAAAATAAACTGCTTATTGCTTGGATACATGTAACGATGTATAACATTTTGTATATATATAAATACATAGGTATATAAATATTGGTCTTCAGTTAAGTGGTATATAATTTTCCAGTTGGACCTGGCTTCCCTAGACTCAGTGCGCCAGTTTGTAGACAACTTCTTGGCAACTGGCAAGAAGCTCCACGTGTTGTGTAACAACGCTGGCATGGCCACCAACTTCTCCGACAATGTTCGTCATCTGACCAAAGATGGATTTGAGATGACTATGGGGACAAATCATTTTGGTAGGTTATGACCTCTGCTGATGGAATTATATATCCGAGACCCTTTTCATATTGTGCAGTATATGTACAGTGTATCTGTAGTGAATCCTTCTGACTGGTGCTAATATGTGAGTACACTGCAGTGTGTTTTACAACCAGTCTGCTTAATTCTTACTGTTTGGACTAATCAAAATAAGCTTGGTTAACAGGCTGTGTAGAGCATGATTGAGGGCTCCTGTTTAAATGATTCTTTTTATATACCTTGTATTATTTTTCTAGGCCACTTTCTGTTCAGTATTTGAGGGCACTGTTTATTAAATGTGTATGTGTATTATTTTTCTAGGCCACTTTCTGTTAACCAATCTTCTCCTGGACAAGCTGAAATCAACTGCGGCAAGTGATGGAGAGGCCAGAATAGTTGTTACTTCTTCAGGAATGCATGATATAAATGGCCAGCAGAATAGAAGAGGTGGGCCTTGGACTTTAGATTTTTTATTTTGTCTTAGAAATTATGAATTCCAGTTTAACGGTGAAGAACAAAAGAAGTTTTTAACATACATGTGCTAAAAGAAACTTGAAAATTTTTTGTGAGCCAACAGTGACCACATATACTTGTATGAAATTGTAGTCTAAAAATCTCTCAGGATTGTGTAATAGTTAATTGCTATAAGTATAACAAGCTTATTGTTAGTGGATAAATAAGTACACTGTACTACTTGTCTTTAAGCGTTTATTGGTCCAACTTGACAATGATCGCTATCTGAAACGGAAGATAAATTACATAAGTCTACATAAATAATAATCCTATATCTCCCCCCAAGTCTTTAGGTTCACTGATAACCAAAGTCAGTAGAAAGACTGAAATGTTTCAATGATCCATGAGAGGTCACTAGTGTTTGAAAACAAGTAAACTACAAAGTAACAGTTAAACTGAATATGCAAATGACAACAGGAACAGCAAACATTGGTGTGCAACTACACAGGAGTTCAAATGTTTATGACAGTTCATAGTCTTTTTGCCAAGCTGGGGGTCGAGTGGCACGAGTGGAGCATCTAGGTTGATCCATGGTAAGAGGCTGGGACATTCCAGGTTGACTATCCACTATCCTGGGGCATGGAGTGGTGCAAACACGTGTGCTAACACTGACTGGCCTAGGTGGAGATGCATTCCCCAAAGGTAAAAGACGGCGCTTTGGGTGACGGTCCCTTTGGATGGCGTATCTGTGGAGGGTGAGGGTGTGTTGAACAGTTGAGGAATGGGTGGCGCAGTCAATGACGGTGGAGTTTCACACTGCGTTTGTGTGTCATGAGACTGTGGGGTAGCCTTGGCCTTAGGTGTTGCAGGTAGGCCAGGGATTTCTTCCTTGCGTTCCTCCTGATCAGTGGCAACCTTGGCAGGGAGTGTTGGAACAGAGCCAGGGATTTCCTTCCTTGTCTCCTGATCAGCTGCAAGTTTGGCAAGTGGTGGGGTAGCATGCGGAAGCTGAAGATCACGGTCTATGGTCTGGATTGGTGTGGGTTGCAGGACAGGTGTGTAACGCCGGAGGAATTTCCTGTTCCGTAATGTAACTCGTCCCGAGCCATCTACTCTCACAACATATTGATCGAACTGCCGTACTTCAACTATGGTCCCAGTCTTCAGGGGGTGAGGGCCTGTCTGGTTCTGGATTCGGACACGATCCCCTACTGCAAGGGGTACAAGTCTCTTGGTGTGCTCCGTAAGGCGTTCTGCCATCTTCATATGGCGATTTCTGAGCGCTTCCTCCCTAGCCTTAAGGGTCTCTTGCCAAGTGGTGTGTGGTTTATATCTTCCCGGTGGAATGGGGATGAAATCACAGATGGAGTGCCCGAAGACGCAAATTGCCGGTGAGAGTTTGGTGTCTCTGTCTGGGGTGTTCCTGTACTGAAGCATAGCACGCTGAAAGCTGTCCGTGTCCAGGTCACCGTTGGGGCTGGTATTGTCTGTGATGAGGCGTTTTACTGTCTTAACCCCAACTTCAGCACGACAGTTACTATGGGGAAAGGCTACTGATGACATACGATGATGTACACCCCAATCAGAAAGAAACTTCTTGGTGGCAGTGGATGTGAACTCCGGTCCCCCATCTGAGGATAGCTCATCGGCTATGCCAAAGGTGACAAATGTCCGTCGAAGAGAAGCTATCAGGCCAGCCGCTCCTTGGGATGCTCTCTCCACAATCGGCCAGTTGGAATACCGATCAACGATGACAAGGTAGTTATTACCCATGTAGTGGAAGTAGTCAGCACAGATGCACTGGAATGGGTAGTCAGGATACATCAATGGTGTCGGAGGGGCACTCGGTTGGGAGGGGGTCATGCGGTTGCAGTGGTTACAACCTGTTCTGATGGATATTATATCGGGTGTAATGCCAGGCCAGAAGACTGAGGACTCGGCTCTGGTTATCATAGAAGAGATCCCCTGATGGGCACTGTGCAATGTAGAGAGGACGTCTTGCCTTAATGCAGGTGGGATGACTACACGGTCTCTATACAACACAACTCCATCGATTGTGCTGAGGTCTTCCTTGAACTGATAATACTCGCGAAGCTTGATGGGGAACTCTTGGCGGCTCTCTGGCAGACCTGAGATTATTAAGTCTACTAGCATGGCCATATCTGCATCACTTGTGGTTGCTGTGCGTACTCTGTCCCAGGTCACTGATTTCAAGGTGATGGATGCCAGAGAGGATGTAAGTGCAGAGATCATGTTTTCCTCCATGGGGATGTGATTGGGGGCAGGGGATCTGATTTGAGACAGAGGGTGATGTTGGCTGACATTAGCAACGTCATCAGGGAGTGGGAGCTTATCTGGATCTCCTGTGGGATGACGAGATACGCAATCTGCAGCAAGGTGTTTGACCCCACGTATATGTACCATCTGGAAGCGGTATCTGAGGGTCTTCTCCTTCAAGTTTCTTAGGCGGGGGTTGTTGATATCATCAAGGGACCTACAGCTAAAGACCTTCAGTAATGGCTTGTGGTCAACTGCAATGATGAGGTCATGACATCCAAGGACAAAGTACCTTGTCTTGTTCAGAGCATCAGCAACAGCTAGGGCTTCACCCTCGATGGGGGCATATCGCGATTCAGCAGAGTGGGTGAAACGGCTGCCTACAAGAGTAATCTTCCATCCAGATGGGCAGCAGAATGGTCGGATAGGCTGGCAAGAGCAATGCTTCTGTAGGAGCCAGAACCCAATTCCATTTTTGGACCAGTCAGTTGCAAGGCATGTGGGCCTGGACTTGTCAAATATTCGGACCCCCTCTTCAATTTCCTTGGAGATGACAGCCTTGGATTCTTCGAAGAGACTGTTGAGATCCTCGTCCCATCTGAAGGGGGTTCCAGGTTGAAGAAGACATCTAAAGGGAAGCATTTTGTCTGCCATGCTGAAGGCATATGATACCTGGTTGACCAAACCAAACCATGATCGCACATCAGTAATGTTTCGAGGGGTGGGAAAGTCCAAGATGGCCTGAAGGTACTTGGAACTGGGCTTGACACTGTCCAGGGTAATGTCAAATCCTGCAAATTCCACCTCATCTTGTGCAAAGACAAACTTCTCTGGGTTCAGAGTGATGCCATGTCTACCACAGATGTCTAACCACTCTACGGCTTTGAAGAAACTCCCCTCTATTGAGCTGGACCAAAGTAGGACATCATCGACACATTTGGTTTTGTTGGTGATGTGCGAGACAATTTCGTCATATCTCCTGGTGTACCCATCACCTGAAGCAATGTACCCTTGGGGAGCAACCTTGTATCGGTATCTGCCCCAGGGTGTGATAAACGTTGTAAGATGGCGATCCTCCTCACGAATGGGTACACTGTGATATCCATTCCAAGCATCTAGAACTGTCTTTTTCTTGCCTTGGGGCACAGCCCTGGCTTGGTGAAAAGGAGAAGGGGTGTGGTGGGTCTCTCGTGTAGCATGTGCATTCAGAGCCTGTAGATCAACTGTGCGGCGTAGCCTGCCATTGTTCTTCGCACATACAACCATGCGGTGGCACCAGGTGACTGGCTCGCCAATTGGGACTGGTTCGATGACCCCTAGTCTGACATCTTGGTCAAGTCCTGCTTTCACTTCTTCCTGCCAGTGAAGTGGGACTGGTATTGGAGTGTGATAGGCTACTGGTGCAGCAGAAGGGTCTACCATCAATTTCATTGGCGGGCTGTCCATGAGGGGCAAGGGCTGATGATCACATGTATTAAACGTACTGGACCTGTAATAGTCCAGAAGGTATTCCTTCAGTCGCCCACAATTCTGTTCTGTCGCAGGGAAAGGCAGCTTCGTTGGAGGCGGGGGAGGTGGTTGACGTTTGGGGCAAGTGCATGTGTGTTGGGCATCAGCGCCACGTGCTGTAAGGGTAATGTCAGGGAACACGGAAGCACACTGCGACATGTGATATGCACCCACAGTCGGGAAGGTCTTTGGTATGATGCCAAGTGCAATACATGCCTCCCTGCTGATAAAGAGCTTGTCAGAGCTGTCGGTGACATAAGTCATCTGTCTTGTTTCCACCAGTTTGCCAGATGGGCCCTTCCCAGCATAGCGAAGTATAGTTGCTCCAAGAATGTTGATGCCATTGTTGACAGCAGTGTGCATCTTCATAGTGACTGGGATCAGGTCCTGTCGCTTCAGGCCTAGACGTTGGATTACCTTAATGCCAGCAAGGCAGCTCTGACAACCAGTGTCAGCCATTGATGGATGTTCTATTGGTGTTCTATTGGCTGAGGATAGAAGGCTGAAGCCTAGCTCTCTGTAATCATCTGCACAGACCGTGATTCTGAGGTTGACGAACGGTTGTGGTTTGGAAGCTCTTCGCACCCACGTGTCATTCAATTGATCATAGATATGATGATCTAAAGCAATGGCCCTGCCTTTCGTATGTTGTGTTGTGATGGTGACAGAGCAGAGCGATTCAAAGACGGCGCCTTCACAGTCATCTGCCTCATGACAGGAAGTAGTCTTCTGGCTCGGCTTGGGTTTGTCTTTGCTACGGCACACTATTTCAAGGTGGTGGTATCGTGTGCAGGTCTGGCATTTGTGCCCAAAGGCGGGGCAATCTCTCTTACGAATGCGTAGAGGAGCAGCCTTGCCATGGCCAGTTTTCCCGCAGTAGCCACAGGGGTCCTGGGGTGGTTTTTCGGCAGGGGTGGGGGTCTCTTTTTTCTTGCGACGGTAAGTGCTACCGATGGCCTCAGCTGCTTGGGATTCTTGTAAGCGTGATGCGGAGCGCTTCCCTGCTTCTTTTGCTTCCACAAATTGGAGGACTTCCTCCAATGTCATGTCCTGGTTCTTATCCCCTAAAAGGTCTATTTGGATCTCAGAGTCTGCTAATCCACGGGTTAGAACATCACGGGTCATCTCCTCCATGTAGCTTACAGCAGTGTTGCAACTGGGGCATGAGACAGAAAATTTGCATACTCCTGCCTGGCCTTTTAGACAGGCTCCATAGTTGCGGACAGGTTCATCTCTGTCTTGGCGCATGTTCTGTAGTGTCACTCTAGCCACCATTGTGTTCTCTGTGCGTACAGCTAATGCTTTGATTGCGGCCATCACCTCATCAACGGATTTGTTTGCAAGGCTTCCACCTGCTGTCCTAGTTAGGTCTTTTCGCAAGGGGTCATCACAACATTCCAGCAATTGGATAACCCTGTCTTTGCCAGCTATCTTTGTTGCATCGGCATATTCTGTCCATCTGGACTGAAAGTATGACCACTCTTCACTGGTACCGCAGGCTGATATCGTGGGCCGCTTGACTTTCTCCACTTTGGCTGCAGTAACAGGAGCGTTGGTATGAACAGAGCTGTGTGTGGTGAGTAGGGCTGCTACGATAGTGGCGTCAAGGTCATCTATGGTGTAGTCACAGCCTTCTATTGGGCACTGGACTGCCGGCATGCTGTCAGGTATGGGATAGCGATCATAAATAAGTACACTGTACTATTTGTCTTTAAGCGTTTATTGGTCCAACTTGACAATGATCGCTATCTGAAATGGAAGATAAATTACATAAGTCTACATAAATAATAATCCTATAGTAGACTACAGCAGTTAGAAACCAGATTTTGTGATCAAGACAATTTGGAGCTGCCCTCTGACCTCTGACCTTCTTATTCACAGCTAACATGCAACCAATTGACCTTGATGACCTTAACAGTGAGAAGAGATACTTAGGTCAGCAAGCTTACAAGGATTCAAAGCTAGCAAATGTGATGTTCACGTTAGAATTGGCCCGTAGACTACAAGGAACAGGTGTCACGGTGAACTGTTTGTGTCCAGGTAAGTGAAGCCAAGGCCTGTTTTGCTGAATAACCTAAGTTTAAGCACAGTGTTACCAAAGTATTATGTTTCACAAAGAACCCTAACAGTTTTCTACCTTGCTTTTTTTTTCTATTTTTTTTTAATTCATGTGGCTAAGCCTGAAACAGTAGAGCAAATTTTTGTGATCTTGACAATGTTTTGTATTCTCAGAAGTCCCCAGTACACAATTTCCCATACATTTGTGAAATGAAATGCTGTAAAAAGCCTTTAAAAAGTTGGTTTTACAACATAAGCCACCTATGTTAAGCAGTGTAAGTAAAACCTGAAAAGGCCATTAAATTTACGAAAATGTTTTTTAATAAATCCAAAATACAGACTTGTTTTAAAATAAAAGTAGTTCATGTGAGAGAGGGAAAGGAAGAGACACTATGACAAAGATGCCCCACCATGTCTGAGATATTCAAGATATTGATCAACCAATGTGATTGTCTCATACATTTCATGTCACAATTAAGTCTTCAAATTGTGTATTTCAGAGACCTAAACGTAAAGCATTTTGGAGTTTTCACTCATCCTAGTGGATACATGAATTTTATCATTTATATGTTTAGATCTTTTAAAATACGAAAGGCATTGAGTGCATTTTAAACAGCAAATAATAAAATAATTAAATAATTAAAATTTGTTTTCCTGAAAATTTAAACAAATTTTCCTTTATCAGTAAGGTATACCCTCTCATCTGTTCAGATAATAAACATCCATTTACTTTATTTTCTGAGTTTTAAATTGTTGTAAAAGTGTTGAAATATCAAAGCATTTTTTTTTGCTTTATAAAGATCTAATGCTCATTTTGTGCCTTTAAAGATCTTAAAACCTCTTCTTTTGTAGGCTTCATACCAAACACAGAATTTTTGAGGAACAACGGCACATTCATACGTGGCTTTTGTAGATACATTATTGGTGGGCTCATGCGACCGTTTTTAAAGATCACGCGGACGGTGGAAGAGGGAGGACAGGCCATTGTACAGCTAGCTGTGGATGAGAAACTGGCAGGTATGGATATATTCAAAAATTTTTTTAAAAAATGAATGTATAATGTTCTCCAAAGACATGTTGTAATAGGTGTACATGCAGGAGTGTACTGAATCTGGGAAACTTGAAAAGTGAGCTTTTTATGTCTCCTTGATCTAAGTTGAAGTAAGAATTAGGATATGTCCGCGTTAGTAATGTAACAGACACAAGTGTGATGTTTGAAATTTGGCCGGTGATGGCCGCTTTTATTGGAAGTCGCATTAATAAAAAGAAATAAAGCGTATAACTGATAAACATTGATAATGTTGATAGATGATATAAACTTAGTGTGCGCCAGAAGTATCAACATTTAAATTATAATTCCAGACAAATAGTGCACACATTTCAAATTGTGGGGTTGCAAAGAGGCCAACCGTCTTTTTTTTTGTCAGAAAGTATATCTTTTTGAGTAATTGAAAATGATAAACTTTGAAAAGAAAAAGCTAAATTATAGGTCCTGGAGGAAAATTCTAGTGGAATGAGTGAAGCGTTTGAAAATAAATTCAATGACGACTGAAAGAGTTCACCCAAATTTATCAAATAAAGATAGAAAATGAAGTTAATCTCACAATAAAAAAATGGTATCACAGTTCTGGTAAAGGTTGGCTGGATACTTTCAGGCCAGACGGGGAAGTTCTTCAGAGACTTTGTAGAGGATAAAGTATCTGTGGAAGCCACGAAGGAGCAAGATCAACAACGTCTGTGGCAGATCAGTGAGAAAATGGTTGGATTGGAATCATATCAGGGCATGGATTAATGGCAGGGACTAATTGGTTTTAGTGTTTTATTAATAAATTAGAAATATAGAAATAAATCTATTGCAGTTTTTGAAATGAAGATATTGTTAGTAATATTTGAAAAATAGATGGTGCAGACTTTCAGAAGTTCTTAGTTCTGAAAAGTAAGTCATCTTTCATGTCAGAAATTGTACTTTTTATAAGTAAATATAAAAGAAACACCTTTCAAACACCTCGGGTGTAACATTTAAAAGTAATCTATGAAGAAGCAATCATCTGAGCTTGTATAACATAAAAATGATTTCATTTGGAGAATGACTCTGTCTGATATTTGTTACAACTAAGAATTTTGCTTCGTTCTCAGACGTGATCGATTAAAAAACCTGTTAATTATTGATACATTGCCCAAATTTACCTGAAGTGTTTCACATATGTAGCCATGTTAAGTGTCTAACTGTTAATACGTTATGTATATGTTATTGTTATAATAAACCATGTCTTGGGCCAGTGAACATACAGTATTTTATATTTTAAAGTTCCTCGTATTACTGCGATTTCCCCATTTAGTCCAGGAAATTGGTGAAAAATTGTGCATTTTTTACCTACAAGCATGAAATTTGGCACACTTATGGACAATGAAATTCTAAGCAAATTTGGNATTTGTGAATGCTATGGCATACTATTTCTCCCCTCGACACCCTAAAGGGTACAAGAAGGATGAAAAAAAAATGGCATGCTTCTTTTCAGCATGCCGTATTTATGCATTGCATATAGTCCTTGTATTGTTATTAATAAATAATAATAATGTTTATTAGTTTAAGCACAATTTTTACTAAGGCTATGACCAAACAAATACATATGTAAGTAATGTAAAGAAGTAGGTGATGTAAAATATTTGGTGTATATACCTGACCACAACTGAAAATAAAATATGGCCAGTTGTTTAGGAATTGTAATCGAAATTACATTTTTATGAAAACTGAAATAAAACAGTTTGTTCTCAAAGCACTGATGTGTTCGTATATGTCATAATAAATAAGATACAATATTAATTTTAGTTTTAAAAAGATTTTATTTGTGTTAGATTTTACAGCAAAACAATACTTACATACAACATACTTTTCCCCCATGAAATTTATTACCATACATCCTTGTATCTACCACTATTTACAAATGAAAAAAAAATTGTCAGAGACCTACTTGATTGATAAGTAATCCAACAACCTGTAACCTAAATAATTTGTTTTACACCGTTTTCTTCCTATCTTTATCAGATAAATATGAAACACATAAATTTATTTTATGTCTTGTTTTTCACATTCCTTTGGTAAATGAGTCTAATATTGAATGCATGAACTTCTGAAAAAGTCAAAATGGTCCCCTCATGGATATTCAAAAAAGGGCCTTCTTGCTGCCATCTATGTTTGTGCAGGCAAGATGCCCTGCATAAGCATGTTGTCTGATTATTCATCCACCTGATCAAGTGCACTTTTGACATAGTTAATGATTTTCCCCCTTATCAGTATAATAGCTGATTGTCGTTACTGCTAGTAGAATATTGTAAGTAACACCGGGTTAAGATGCATTAAATTAATAATGATAATTTTAACTACCAGATAATATTGTATTTTGGAGAGTGCTGAAAAATATGTCAGAGTAATCTTCAAAAATTTGGGTGTGGAATTGAATTTTGATTACAAATTTATGAGAAAATATCATTTTAAAAGAGATAACTAAAGATTAATGTTGTAAGTCATTAACTTGAAGAAAACTTACCATTATGTTTTAAAATTAAACATAATAATCTGCAAGCAATAATGGTGTTCTGAGAGCCCTGTACAATAATAAAATGATATAATTAAACTATGTCTTTACTTAATTATACTGTTAGAATTCAATAATTCATCAAATGATTCTCAAGTCAGTTTTAACACCAATATGGAAGATGAAAATTCATTATTCATTATTAAGCACCTCAATATCTTAGTCAGCGGTGGGATTAAAAAAAAGCATTCCCTTACACTAAAATTTTGATCATGCACTGAAAGTACTTTTGAAAAAATGATTTCATAACATAAGATATGCTTAATATTTTTGTTGTAGTTCTTTTTTCCCCATGCATTAATTGTAGACAGATCAGAAAACTTCAAGGCCTCATTAACATAAACTGTCATAAGCCTCAGTCAAAAAATTGTTTTAAATCAATAATTCACGCCTTAAACTACAGCATCTAAAACACAGCACGTCAGAAACACTGTCTGGAAGCCTTCGATGAAAATCCTCATATTATGCAAGCTGAGATTCTTCTATATCCTAGCAAAAAAAGCAGGTGTCATTCTCATCCAAAAAGAGAAGTGACATTATAAGTACATAATCCATCTCTGAAATACCATCACAACAAAAATGTACAAAATAGAGAAACTACATATGCAAAATATCCTTTAGAAAACTACTCTAGAAAAAAAATCCACTTGTTGCTAAAAATATGCCTTAACAATATACTAAAGTTAAACACACTGCAAAGAAAAATACACCCAATTTTGTTGTGTAAACTTTCATGTCAAATCAGATCAAATTGGGCGCATTTCCAAATGAAACAATTGTACTTGATAGAACGATCCTTCTCCACAAGGACTTGCCTCCTCAAGCAGCACATGGAAGTAAATCACCGACTAGCTGCTCAAAGAGGCACATCATTTAGTTAATCTTATTGCATTTAGTGGGAGTACCCATAGTTGGATGGATCTACCTAGTCCAATAGTGTCAGCCTGAAAGTCGACCATTACGTGCTATAATATGGCATTTTTAGGTAGCAGCTGTGCCTGTCCTTCAAAAAATTGTGCAACTGAGCAAATGTGTTTTTATATCAATACGTATACAAAAGACTTGGTGATCTCTTTACCCCCTCACACTGTCATTCACGTCACCACTGTATATTGTGTTACTTCCCTTCATTTCTATTCCCCATAGTCGGGAAGCAATGGTGCAGGGAGGTAAAGGGATCTAAAAGACCAGGGGGTAGGCAGGCTAATTTTGCCCAAGAAATATCCTGGATATTATAGAATTAATAATAAAAATGTTACAAAATTGTTTGACAATGAAAATGAAATTATAGAATTAATAATAAAAATGTTACAATATTGTTTGACAATGTCAAATACTGTTACATCTTGTTATAAACTGGAAATGTTAATAGTTTTTTTTTCTGTAGTACTATCATTCATAATGCCATTATGACATACAAAAAAATAATAATATTATAACAACTTACATTTTTTTTTCTGTGCACATATACAAAACAGCAACTTCAGTTATGGCATTTGTTTGTAGCACAGTCAAAAAGTTCAAATAAACTACTCACTGTATTAGAGTTTATAAATAAATTGGGGGGGGGCGAGGAAGGGGGGGGGGGTTAGAAACAGTAAAACGAACCAATCTCTACCACGGCCCTTGCTCAGCATAAGGAGTTTGGTGAGGTGTCTACTGAAAAGTTCTCTCTATGCCATTGCCATGGACAAAGGCGAGAACCAATATTTTGAACCCCAGGCTGCCAAATAATAACCATGCCCCTATATTAATCAAACAAGTCTGGAAATTCTGGCTCTTGAGTGTGACAGAAATGGGTCACCGTGACCTTATTTCTCAACATTCCATTGGATGGAATGTCGTCTATAAAGGATTTTTCCTTAAGAGAAATTTTTATCATTCAGTTTTACATATGAAAGAGCACTAAAAATCAACTGAGAAAGTTTTTTCACATTATTTTACAAAACTGAGGCATATTAATATTCTAGTGAAAAAAAATTCTGCAAGAAATCTTACTACATGATTCTACAAAAGCTGAACCCCTACACAACCACCAATACTCTTTTCAAACACTGTCAACATGTCAGCTCCAGCAAACTACAAAACCAAACATACACCTCATTACACACAGGTTAAAAACCCCCAGCCATGTACAGCAAAATAAACAACACTTTGAGCCCTCCCCTCTCAAAGCTAGACAAATCCACTTTGAGATCTCCCCTTCTGCAGAAGGGTACACTTGGCATTTTACACAAGTCATTTTGATTGCATTGTTGAGACGTTGCCATAGAAATACTTGTTTCAGTTTTGGATACTTTCTACTCCCCCTTGCTCTCTGCAGTGCTGTCCAACTTGGACGCCTCAGTTGTAGTGTCTCCACATCCCGATTCCGCAAAACTGCTTTCTGGGGGTACAGAGGAATCATCGACAGTGGTGGAAAGTTCTGCCGTAGTGTCAGCGGTGGTATCCCCACCCTGTGACAGCTCAACTGGTGTCTCCTCGACCTTCTCCGGTTCAGCTGCAGCCCCTGCATCGTCGCCTTTCTTCTCACCTTCGGCAGAAGCGGCCTCTGCTGGTTTCTCATCACCTGCTGCTGGTTTGGCTGCAGCATCACTGGCACCTGTTCACATATAAATACACATGGTTTTATCTTGAAATTATTTTTGGTGACCATGTTAGATTTCACGGCCATGTTTGAATTTTAATGAATTCCCCCCATATCTATATTTGCTTAGAATTGTATTTCCCACAATTGTGCCAAATTTTATGCTTGTAGGTAAATTTTTTTCACCAAATTGTTGGACTATGTACAGAATCTGAATCAATATCTATTCATCTTGAGTGCACTTTAGAATATTAATTCTGGTAAAAAAAACTATACTGGCGTTTATTAAATAACAAAAGTATGGAGTTATAAAAATGAAGTCAGATAGTCTGATTGTTTCTTGCACCAACAAAAAATACCAATGTTATCTTAAGCACTATCAAATATCAATGTTATCTTAAACACTTGTCAACACTGCAACTCTTCTCTTTGCCACCCAGTCAACACACCAGGGCACTGCTGCTCTATTCAAGATGTTGACAAATCCACTCTCAGAGATGAAAACTTTTTTCCCTTTTTTTTTTTGCAATTCTGGACTGTGTTTTCAAAATGGCCCAACTCAACAACAGGAAAAAACAAGGCAGCAAAGCTGTCAAATGTACAGACAAAGAACAGAAAATCAAGATGCAAATAAATTAAAAATTAAATTTTCACAAAAAACTGTTAAATTGCCAGAAAAATTTACCAAACAGACTGCGTTGCCTATTGAAGCTGTATGTTAGACCCATGTTTCTTTCCTGTAAGTTTGAGAACAGTAAGTGACATGATTTCCCTTAAATGGTCATCATAGGAGCAGTGCCCAAAATAGGGGTTTCTTNTAAGTTTCAAGGCAAAAGGTAAAATGGTTTTCCACTTATCGTGTTATCGGTGCTGCATATATGCTGAAAAAAGTGAAAAAACAGCATAAATTCCCTAAAAGTGACCCGATCATGCTGATTTTCGAACTTGACCTGCGTATTATGAATATTCATCAGTTCTGCAAGTTTCAAGTCAAAAGGTAAAATGGTTTTCCACTTATCGTGTTATCGGTAAAAGTGCACAGCGACGCCGCCGCTGCCGGCGACGACAGACGCAGATGATGGCTATATGTACAGACACATCTGTGTCTGTACATAAAAAAGCACCCTTCTATACCCACCTTCTTCCTTCTTTTCCTCTTTCTTTACAGGTTCAGGGGGTGGGGGTGGGGCCTCTGCCTCTGGGGGCTCTATGGGGTCATACCCCTCCAGTTTGACCAGTCCTGCACTCATATTCCACAGCTTTTTCTGCACCTCCTCATCCAGGGACTCCGCAGAGGACTGGTGCTCTGTGGTTTCGAGGAAGTATTTTCCTGTCACGCCTGGAATTAAATAACAGTTATCAACAGCAGTTATCAATGGTCACCTGCAGAAGCTTATTTCTGACATCATCATTCTGTTAGCAGATTCCTGGAAGGGGGGGGTGGGGAAACATTCACATTAATTTATATTGTAAATTCATATTGTTTAGTGTACTGAACATAGTTGGATTTAAGGCTTAAAATAAATAGTATTATTATTAATATTTATAACTTAAACCACAAATTTCAAATGATTTAGCAGGTTTTCTGGTACTGTATTTGCTTTTATATTTCAACTATCTTTTGCAATTAAATTAAAAAAAATTAGTAAATAACTGAACAAACAAAAATAGGTTAAAATAAAATAAAGAAAGGAGAGACTGGAGTTTAGCCTACTTCACTATTATAAATCCCCTGACTGCAGTACCTTTCAACTCCTCATTAGTTGCTGCATTGACCACAGCCTGGGCAGCCTGACCAATAGTTCTGGTGGTGTGAGTAAAACGTAGAGCTCGGTGAAGAACCCACTTCATAAAGAACCGCTGGACCATGTTCTCGTTGCGTAGGAAGTTAGTGGTGGGGACATTGGCAGCTGGAATATTTAAAAAAGTCCCAAGTTCAACAGGTCACACAAAGATTGAAACTATACATTAAAAGAAAACAACTACTTTGCTTGCAAGGTGCTGGCCTAATAAATTTAATGAGAACCTTGAGCTATGGCTCTGAGGAAAGTTTAAACAGTCACATATTTGTCATCTACATTTCACACACGCACATACACATCATGTATGTACATCAAGCAATAACTGCAAATAGATTTATCATGCTTAAAAAAGTGACAGATAGAGCAAACAGTATATATTTTTCCTAAATCATTTCTACTTTCTACTCACCAAGGCAGACTGCATTACCTATAACATTGGGCACTTTTAGTCAATTAGCAAATTCATACTCACCAGGACAGACTCTTTACCTGTACCATGAGGCACTTTTAGTCAATTAGCAAACTTGTACTCACCAGGACAGACTGCATTAGCTGTAACCCCAGTCCCCTCCAGTTGCTTTGCCAGTTCATAAGCAAACATGACATTGGCCAGTTTGGAGTCCTTGTAAGCCTGCATGGAGTTATAGGTGCCGTACTTAGTGAGCATAAAGTTGTCCATGTCTAAAGGCACCAAGGCTGGAAAATGGTGAAGTCAGAACATGTGTAACTGATGAAATGTTTATGCTGAAAATGATAATTATAATGTTCTAATGAAGAAAAGAGAAAATGTTACTGAATTTCTACTGACATATAATAAAAAAAAGCAATTATATCAAACTTTTGAATGAGCGATTATCATTGTTATAGTCAGCACATTAAAATTTTTTAGCTCTTATCACAATTTTTTTAAACAATTAACTCCTTGACAAAAACAAAAAGCGTTCAAAAGTTGATTTACGTGGATTTCTCTTGCGTGCAACGTCCATGTTATGGGCTTCTGATGTCACCATGACAACACGAGCATCTCCGCTCTCAGCACCTGCTTTCTTGAGGTCGTCCAGCAGCAGATTGGTCAGCAGGAAATGACCTATTAGTCAAGACAAACAATTAAACAGAACAATGTGTTACAACTGCTACTGTGAAAACTTTAATAAAGGAAACAATTTACAAAAAGTATTAATATACTTCCCACAGTGTATGACATTCAGAAGAACCAGGATTTTATCTGTTGTCATATTTTAGGTTTGTACTTTCATTAAAAACTGACTTTTCTCCACAAACCTGGACCCACTGATTAGAAATTATCCCTATTTCATTTAGTACAGAAATAAACAAATGAAACAAATAAATATAATGAAAACGATATAATCTGACGCTACTATACCGAGATGATTTGTTCCCATGGTTAACTCAAACTTGTCCGCTGTTTCTTTCCTCACACGGTCGCTCGCGGCTGCACAGACACCTGCGTTACAAACAAGGACATGAAGTTTCTTCTTGGTGGCATGGAAATCTTCCACAAACTTCCTGATTGACTCCATGCTTGACAAGTTTAACTGGAACGATAATGATATTTTTTCTTTACCATATCAATCAAGAATAAAGGTGTTTGAAAAGTTCCATCAGACATCAATAGCTCTTTTATCACACACTTAGTGAAACCCTTCTCACTCTTATGAACTTTTCCGGTTGCCTTGTAGTACTGCAGCTGCTGCACATGGGGGGTGGGGGGTGGGGTGGGGTGGGGGGGGCTTAAAGTACTCTTGAAAATTGACATAATGTCACCTGTGTCACTTTGAGACTGATGAAGATGGCCAATGACGTCATAATATTTTATTATATTGATAAGGTTTTCACTATGTTTGCCACAAAAGAGCTAGTGCTCACAACAATATAGGTCATTAAATATTGTCTGAAAATGGAATCTGCTTAAACTAGATATAATTACTCAAAACATTAAAAAGAAAATATGAAAACAATAAATAAAAATTCTGTTTAAGAATGCAGTTATGAAACATTTTGCAATAAACTCAAATATAATTCCAAAGACCTACTTAACACCAAACTCAAAGCACCATCATCATAAACTAAATTTCTAGCAAAACCAATTAACTTGACTCTCTTCCAAATGCTTTATTGACCTTACAAGAACACAAGTCAAATAAGACTGGAAAAGTTCAATTCTACGTAGAAAAGCTCGTAGAAAAAAATCAATTATCAGTGCTTGTAACACCATTGCAACCTTATATCACGTTATCTATCAAGGTGTAATTAGTCCAGTGGTTTTTTAGTCAAGTTTAATATATTTTGCCCAAGGCACAAATATGCTGATATGTTAGGTATGTATGTGCAGGTGTGTGTGCATGCATGCATGCATGCGTGTGTATATGTGTGTGTGTGTGTGTGTGTGTTTGTGAGTGCACACACTTGTCTCCAAAGGTATATTTAAAATGTCCTTTTATCAAATGTAAAAACGGATACAGGATTTTTTATACTAATTTGCAACTCTCAAAGAGCATCCATCTCTCAAGTAATTTGTCAGTGTTAATTCTAGCATAGTGTATCCACTGACATTTCCTTAATTATCCACAAAAATAATACAAAAATGGGGGAATATATATCAAGCTGAGAAACATGCTCTTTTCTCTGCCCTTCAGTAGCCAGCTTTCCAAACCATAACTCCCAGTGTTTCATTAATGCCTGTCACATCGCATTTCAAGCAATAGCAGTAAAACAAAGGTCAGCTCGATAAAAAAATTGTAGTATGGCCGCATTTCTATCTGTTCGAAGATGAGACAGCTTTACTCAATATATGCTACTTCTGCAGACTGTGCGATAGGGCTTGCTGAACATGAGAAGTTTCTTGAAAAAAAATCCTTACATTCAGAAACCAAAGCTAATCCTAGAAACCTCACTCAAAAATCTTTTTTTTCCAACAAGTACTTGAGCCTGATCCAGACAGCTGATTACTCAAAGGAATAAAACTCAGATTGGCAATCCTAATTGACTGACTTGACTGATTGGATCAGGCAGAAGACATATTTGAAAATGGATTAATGGATTACAAGCTCCCAGTAAGGAATACCAGAGGAAGCTGGGAATAACAGATTTTTTTCCATTGTCAGAAATATCATACAAATCTGGGTTTTGAGCATTTCTGAGCATATACTGATATATATATATATACATTGAGAAAATTCTTAATTGGCTGGGGGTTCAGGACACCTGAAATCTCATCAAAACTGAATATAAAACCTCAGTTTTGTGATTTCCTGAAAAAAAGACATTCCTGTAATATGCAGTAGTTGTCTGTCTCCTGTCAGTTTAAATGTGACACATCGAGACTGTGTTGCCACTTTGTGGTTCTATACAGAGATTTCTGTGGACAAGAAATATTGTGGGGTGTCAAGACTGAATGAAGATTTTTCTTTCCTTACAGAGGACTTTGTGTTTTAGGTGTGTGGTTCTTGAGCACCCTCCTCAACCATGCTTCACAAACATGAATCTCTCACTGTCATAAATCTCTCCCACTCTCTCATTTCTTTAACTTAATAGAGCATATAACCTCTCTCTCTCACACACACACACACATACACACGCTACCTGCATAAACGTTGCCAGCGCATGTGGGTTCTCGCTCTGGATCTTCTGCACAGCATCGTTGCCTTTCGTCTCGTCTCTGCATGCCAAGATCACGTTGTTGCCACCCTCACACAGGTACCGCGCGACTTCGTAGCCAATGCCACTGTTGGCGCCTGTCACTATGATAACCCTCCCTGTCATGCTGGTTTCTTAGTCTGAAATTAGAAGAAGAACCAAATGTCAAGCTAAAACACGGAAAAAAATACATTCCAAAATAAACAGCTACAGTAGAAAATAACATTTCTCTGAAAGAATATGTGATGCCAGTATGCTTCTCCCTCCAAATCCCCCACCACAACCATCCACCCCAACTCTCTCATAGGTTCCACCAACCTAAATAACAGTATACAACTATATACCAGTATAACCCTCTCTCTTCTCTAGAGCTCTCTCAGCTTCAAATCTCCAGCACTTGAAATCAAGCCCACACATATAATCCCCACTCAGTACAGGCCATCACATGCCTGCAGTAAAACACATAATAATCGCTGTAATAAAACCTATTCATAATAGCACCAAAGCAAATTATATTCCCACCAGAGGTGAAGCCTCAAATCACTGTTATTACACCTGTATATGGGACAATACAATCAAGATAGTACTACATAACTGCAATAATGACTATGTATAACTACACCTGTGCTCTGAGGGGAGAATCATTAAGCTCCTATTCAGTGAATAAAACGTGTACGGTAATTACTTGAAAATTTTGAATGCCTCACTCATTTCAGTGTTTTCCTCTTTAAAGATTTAACATTTCAGTTACTCACATACTGTTTTTTGTCCTTGAAGAAAACATTCATGTTGCCATTACAAATTTTTATTTTATTCTATATCATTTTTGTTTGGTTTAAAAGCAAATACTGGTTCAAACAGTGCACTAGAAAGACTCAGATCTGGTTAGGTTGATGTTATCTTTAAATAAATGGGAGGACCTCATTTAATATAAAATCTTAAAAATCACCTGTATATTCATATAGATTCATGCATACCGAAGTCCACTCATCTTTCACTAGTGGTTATAATTTTTTGCCAGAGGTCTTAGATAACTTACTTTGAAAAAAAATGCATAGGTTCTACTGAACTTGAATAGGAATTTTGATCATCTCGTCATGAATCTTGTTATTAAAAGAAATGAAACTCTGAAAATGAACCAGCTTAGATTCTGGTTTTTATAATTCACAAAATAGATAAAAAGTGAGAGCTATGATTTACTAATCACAAAAAGAAATGAACGAAATCATGATTACATAATAATGAGAGACCAAATCATTGACTACAAATTCAAGGCCATGAAAATATACCAAAATCACCTTATATCAACAAATATTATACAACGGAAAGACACTAAATTTCTAAATTAATCCCATGAAAATTAATGAGGCTGGAATAAAGCCTCACAATCACAACCTACATCTAGTTTCTGGCAAGGATGCCCCTCCCCCTAATTAAGTAGTTAACCAAAATATCTATCCCTAATCCAATTCTGATTTTCATGATTAGTTATTAGGAGAAGCACTATCAGCAAACAAATCCAGTTGCTCTATCAATGAGAACTGCACATTAGTCCGTAATCCACCCAGTTTCATTAGAATGCAGTCCTTGTTAATATAAATATATATAATAAATCAAATCTTATGTTTTTCAGTGTTAGCAATTTCACTGAAAACCCTCAGTAACAGCTACACTGAAGCTTATGTTTTAAATTACAAGTAACAACTGTAGCCTATCAGCCTTTCCTAAAATGTTTACTTACTAATGATATGAGCTGTTCGGAAGAGGACCACAATTTGTACAATAATTCCCTTCAAGATACTCCGGTCTCCTGGTGCTACAATACATTGAACTTTACATCTCTAGACTACCACCAGGACGCTTTGGGCTACATTAATTTCCTAGATATTGACAAGTTTAAGCTTCAATTTCCGGGAAATGCGCATTCGTTCACATCAATGATAACTTACATACTTGAAGGTAATACTACACAACTTGCTATGAAAATATGAAAATACTTTAGATGTATGCAGGAATTTCCATGACAGTCTGCCCAGATTAAATCCTCTGTAATAATCATTTATAGGCAAACATGGTGTTGAAAATTCAGCTGAAATATTACTAATCAACCTAAAAGAAGGTATCTCTGAAGGAATCCATACAATTAAATCCTAGGGACGAAAACAAATAAAGCTAATTAACTTATGAGGAAATCCATTCACTAATATCTCTCACTAAAATGAGTTAGTTATCATCATCATCATCATCATCATCCCCATGAAAATATTATACTTGTCCCATTTTTCCTGCTCTCTCTCTCTCTCTCTCTCTCTCTCATACATCCTCATTCTCTCTCTCTCTTATACATCCTCATTCTCTCTCTCTCTCATACATCCTCATTCTTTGGCATATATCTACTAGTAACTACTTTAATCCACTTAGAATGGAAGTACAAAACACATGAAAAGTGGAGCTTTGCTTTACATAGGACACAATGCTACAAACACTGGCTAAAACTGTGTTGTAACTTGTACACGGAGGCTGATACTATAAGACTGGGTAGTGCGCCAAGTTGTTTTTTAGGCTTTATTTTTTCTGGATGTTGTAAGTCAATGATCCCTGGTTATGCCTTACTATTTTGGAAGCCTAAAGTTAACTCCTTTAAAGTGAAACTTGTGAGTGAACACCACACAGTACTTAAACATGAATCTTTCGAAGGGCATTTTTCTCCTAAAACTATCGAAATGCATAGATCAAATTCAATCCAACTCCGATGGGACTCTCGCTGAATGCAATCAGTTTAACAGATCAATACGCCTCCTCTTGTTTGCCATGTACTCCTATGATCACCCGCTTTTCTGTACTCTACTCAAAGCCAGTAGAAAGCATGTTAATTCGTTAAACTGATTGCATACTGATAGTAACTGTACTACTTTTATTCACTATTCACGTGCTCTGACAGATGGTCAGCTTCACTCTGCAATCAGTTTCTGGTGGAATTGTCTGAAGGGACAAATTGACCAGCTAAATGGAAAATCCATTTTTCATTGAGTTTGTGTAATATGCAGTACAGCAATGATATCTTACTGACTGGTAGTGTATGGTATTTACTCTATAAGCTCAAACATCAAGAATTTACATTAAAATGTTTAAAAGGTAATGTAATATAAAATGATGATTAAGAAGTTCTGAATGGTTGGCATTGTATAAGTAAGTCCATTGCTGTGTCTTAAAAGGACACATCTAGAAACAGCAAACGATTAGAAGATGTGAGGCATCTGAAAATTTGAAATAATTACCGTAAAATCTTTTCCCTACTTCACAGAGCAGACTTGAAGCACTCCGATATCAATACCACAATCTAAAGCATCAATTCCTCATTGCCCGGAATTCCTTTCAAGAAATCTCAGTGAAAAAGCTTCGGCTTAGTGTCAGAATACAAAAGATTTATATTGATTTTTTTCCTTCTGCTCTACATGATGCATACTTTTCCGTTTGCGAGATGAAAAATTAGCACAGCAGTGTTCAGGCTGACACAAACATCCTTCATCTCCCACTACCCCCCCCCTTTGACCCCCCTTGCAGATATAAGTCAAGTTTGTGACTGAAATGCACCCACAGGTGACCAATTAATTTTGTCAGGAATTTAAATGTCTCATATGATAAGTACTAATACATTTTATTAAACCATGGAAAGCATGCAGAGACTCAACTCCGTGACTGAGAGGTGGCCTTGGGACAGATAAAGCACACAAATTAAAAGTAGATCAGACACAGCTATATTACTGATTATATATATATATATATATATATATATATATATATATATATATATATATATATATATATATATATATATATATATATACAAATATTAAACAACAAGTCCTGTTTCAAGTTGGACTTCGTACAGTCCACCTCCACTGACTGGCCCTATTCCCACAGACACCATCCGTCTACGTGGAACAATCTAACTCAGCAGAAACTCTCGCTGACTGCAATCAGCTGAACTGAATGACACGCCCAGAAAGGTTGGTAATTATTCGAATATGTTGCAAACAGACTTACAATGGCTGAAAAAGGGGGTTGATTTGGCTTGTTTAAGTCTAATNATTTTCCCATACTTACCAATGGTTAATGAATCCATTTTTACATTCAAAGTTAGTCCCTGGTTTTTTTCTAAAAAGTTTGGTTTTTTGTTAAAATCTCTTAAGAGATTTTAACAGAGTATAGACATCAATGGAGGTCACGTGGTCTAAAGACAAGTTCAAATATCAGAATAAAAGCTATAACTACTGTTTTTGTGGTAAAACAGAATATATTATATTTCTATGAGTTATTCACAAGGTTTTTATAGTGAAATATAGATCTCATACGAAGAGTTATTATCCCTTTAAGTCTAATTTAACCCATTTGGAGAAAAAGTAGTGACTTAGCTAAGCACAATGAAAATTGATAGCACTATTCTTACCTTAGCGACTCAGCTGAAATGATATGGCTGAAGATAGAACCTACCATGTAATTATGCTATAAAAGGGGATATCCTACCTGTCACATGTGCTCCACAAGTTTGTTTCCTGCTGGTTAGTTAATTTGCCAGGTCCATTTCCATTCAGATGACTCTCTTACATAATAGCCTGCCTAATTAGTTGTCATTTACTCATAGCTTACCAGTACAGTTGAAATTGCTAAGATAGCATTCAGATAGACACATTGTATTAGTTGGACTGGTCCAACCCTACAGGGGCTCTCGCTAAGTGCAATCAGTTTGACTGAATGACATGTCTCCTGAGGTAGCAAAGAAGTAATTAATTTAAACATGTAGACAAGTAAGCTGATTCCACTGATTGCAATTAGCAAGAATCCCCCTCAGAGTTGGACTCAACTAGCATGATGCGTCTATCTGAATGCTTCCTAAGATTTAAAGCTCACTGTGAAAAGGTCTTTAAGACCCCATTCCCAGAGATTAGATCGATCTACTTTAGATTGACCTAACTCCCTGGGGGTTCACGCTAAATAGCTGTCAGCCGAGCGGGCATGAAAGTTAATTATCCCCTTACAACTTGTAGTAGGCAGGGCGGACATTTAAGCTGGATATTCTGACAGTAATCTAGTGAGACTTCCCGCGGAGATAGATCGATCTAAAAGCTCTGGGAATACGCCCTAAAGCTTACATGCGGTAACAGGCCCATTGAAAAAAGGCAACCCCACTTGTATAGAAACACGACTACAGACTTGGCAAAACATAGCAGGAACATTACTAGATGTTTTGATAACATCAGATATTATGATCTTTGTTTTGGTGCCAAAAAAAAAAAAAAAAAAAAAAGCTGTCTTTTAAACTTTGAACAACATAAACTTGCATTATAATTCCTCTACATAGCATTCTATTTGTGAATAATCAATGGTGTACTTCCAAGGCATAAAACATTCATTTCTTTATATCTTTTATAAAATTAATATAATTTTCATCCTTTAAAGCAATAATAACTCTTCCTTTGAGATTCAAAATTCCGCAAGAAATACATTGTAAACAACGCCTGGAAATATATTCTATTGCATTTTCCCACTAAAACGACTGTTATTGTAGTAAAACTAAAATCTGTGCTTGTCACTTGGGCTTTCGATCCCTATTTTCGCGGTCGACAAGTGCATCCGTTGCCAATGACGTTTAGGTGTCACGCGGATTCTCGCGTCCATTCGAGACCAAAATAACATGGCGGGAAACCCTCAGACGTAAGTTGCGAGTTTTTGTACAGTGCGTCGGATAACGAAAAGCCCAGAATTGCACACATTGTAGATATAAATGCATTTTGAGCAAAAAGAGGAACATATCTTTTGAATCTTATAATATTGTTATATAGTGTTGTTGTTGTCTGCTTTTCCCGCGGTTTTAAGTAGGTCACCAGAAACAATCGCTCGATACAAGAGGGCTCCGTCAGTTAAAATCTCTTAAGAGATTTTAACAAAAAACCGTACGTTTAGGAAAAAAACCCTGGATTAACTTTGAATGCAGGAATGGGGTCGTTGACCATTGGTAAGTACGGGAAAATTGCCGTTTTTCCAGGAAAATCGTATTTTTGGCCAAAACGAAGAGTTATTATGACTTTAACAGTTTAAGGCAATTCAGAATTTTATATGCTTACTAGTATGTGAGCCTAGGGCACAATATGAATATCATACTGTAAATTATAATCAAGTCAGGCAAGTATAAATGTGAATGTTATCCTTATACACCCTTTTCAGAAGTCTTATTCACTTGAAATAAAGACTTCCCAGTTTTGCTATACTTTCTTTTCACTAGTCTGATTTAGTTACTTACTTATCAATATCTGATAACCTTTTAGCAATTTATCTTTCCTTAAGCTATGACCTTAAATTGAAAGAACTACATAAAAATAATACTGGGTTTCAAAATGCTCACATATTTTAATTAAGCATGCCTTTAAGCAGTTAAATAAATGCAAATACCTACAAATTTTAAGATAATCATAATCTACTTAAAGAACATGTTACTGTTAAGTTATTTAAACACAACTTGCTCTTTGAAGCATTTTTTTTTACATCTCTCTCACTCTCTCAACACTTAAACATAACCTCTGTAAGTACATTTAAAGATAAAGTGACTTGGTAAAAAAACTAGTCTTTTGCTAATCCTTAGTCAACTTTCACGTAAATCTATTATTCATTTATCTATTTCATTCTACTTTTTTTCTATTTGACTTCTCCCTCTGTAACCCATCTGTTTCCCAAGTAATGACACAACAGTAGTAAGTCAATACAAAATGAATGTTTTATATGCTGAGATGTGGTGAGATAAACCTTGTTAAATCACTGGTTTCATTTCCCTTAAGACCCCATTCCCACAGATTTTAGATCAATCTATCCCTGTGAGGGGTCTCACTAGATTACAGTCACCTTAGACGACTTATTTGTCTGCCCCGCCTACTAAAAGCCGTAAGTGGGTAATTAACTACGGTGTGTGCTTGGCTGACATGAATCTAGCGTGAACCCCCAGGGAGTTAGGTCGATCTAGATGGATCGATCTAAATCTGTGGGAACGCAGCCTACGACTCTTCAGCACACTGTAACACACTTGAGATGACCCAGGGCTTGACCCAATTAGTAAACTACATGCTACTTTTTCTACAGAATAGATTTGGTCTTTATTGCTTTAAACAAACAACTTGAATGACTATTTGTTTTCTTAACACACAGTCAGCATTACTTCCACCAAACACTTCAACTAAGGTAATAATGTTTCAAGTGTTTTGTAAGTGAAACCTTTTCCTTTTGCCCTCAAACATGAGCTCCGGTTTAAAAAAAAAGATGTCTCTGAACATTTACTGTGGGACCAAACACTTAAAGGTAGTCTTTATGTGATTTACCTGCCAAAATTAATTTTTTTTAGGGCCAAAAAGGATTTCTTGTACAGAGGGGATATTACTCTATCTGTCTCGGCACTTGGATTCGATGTTTTATGCCATCACTAATTGAATGATTTGTTAAAGAGAGTACTTAGTAAATATAATAGTTTTGAATGACAGACCAATCGAGTCAGCACAAACTATCGATATCAGGTACTTTAATTTGGAGGGTTTTAAGGTTTTAGAGGCCTGTATTGGGAAAGATATGTGCTCTGAAACAATTTCTTTTAACCATGCTCACTCTGGTTAAGACCTATTCTCACTTCCACAGCTTAATGAAAACAATCCATATGTTTTTTATTTCAATGGGCATAAAAAGATTTAAAGGCATCCTTGGAAAATGATCAAATATTTCAAGATTCTAAGGCTTCTACAAAAACTTGGCTCTCTGACAAGTAATTCAATGTACAATATATCAAATATAATTATAACTTTTCAACAAAAATCCAAATATCAAATTTTCACACCAAAACAGCTAGCTAAACTCTCTTTTATGCATAAAAAGACTACATCCTACAAGAAAGGAGAGATAAAAACCAGTTTTAATTTTTTTTGTCATAAGACTTAAATATGAAGAAAAATTCTGTGCCAGCTGTGAAATAAGACTTACTACAACCTAAGAACAACTGTGTAATGTGGAGTATTGGACCTTATTGTTCACAACAGCATACCCAACACTTGAAACTATTCACATTCCAGTTTGGAATGTGAACATTTCTTAACTTTTCCACGCCTGTCACTGGGAAAACTCTAATCGTCCCCCGACATAGGCTTAATATTGTTTTGTTGTATTTTTGATACGTTCACAACAACGTAACCGTCGGATCTGAGAGAAAATATTATTTGTAGTAAGTTCCGTTTTTTATTTGAATTTTAATAAATTCTGACTTCAACACCCTCACAAAAATTAAATTCTGTCCAAGTAAAATTCTTGACATGACAGTCGGACAGGTAAAAAAGATACGTTAATTTTATTTGTACAAAACGTAAAAAATAACAGTGTCTTTCTAGCGTAACCCTTCCCTTATGCCTGGTTGTCAAGATTGGGATCTTGAAGACTAAATCAGAGCACCCCACCCTCCTACACTAAGTGAAGACTGCGCTCACTTGCAAACACCGGGCCTCCACCAGATAGATTCATATGCAATGCATGATATTTCTGACAGCAATTATCAACTATGAAAGGTTAAATAAACAAGGCATACCTTATATTTCGCTGCAAACGCAAAGTCCAATGCTGTAATGGTCTATGTTTGCAAATTTGCCGCTAAATCCGAGCGAACAAACAAAAAGCACCACATCCGGTACACATGCGCAACAAGCCAGGTGCGCTGAAAGTAGTTTTCCATTTAGATAAATGCGCGTTTCGTTTCGACTGAACTGAACGGATTTTAAGTTTTTGCACTGAATTTCATTGATGTGGCATGAGTGGTCCTTCACATGTCTTCTTGGTTATATCAAAACTAATTATTAGAAATATACGTGTGAACTATATTTCTAAGCGGTGCAGACGGTGTGTTCCAAGGCACTTCCGTCAACAAAGCAACATGCCACCGAAACGTAAAAACGTGCCAAGCAAGAAAGATGAAAAAGAATCTGCAAAAACCAAGAAGAAAACGAAAATATCAGGTGAAGTTATAAGTGCATACGTGTGTGAAAGTTTGTGGATATAGAACATTAAAAAAAAAAAACAAGTGAACTGCTTTTGCAAGGAGGGAAAAGATTCACTACCAGTAAAACTACTACTAGTACTGAGTAGTACATGTAACTATACTGGTACAAATGTACATGTACAGTAGTACTGTATAACAATGGCATTGCACACTCTCGGTTGTCACCTAGTACAAACCACCTTCTGGTAATACTCAAAATTGATCTTGGGTTTAGTCATCACTTCCATTTTAATTTATTATTATATAACTACTGTTTATCATGTTGCTATTAATTATTATTCTTTTGTGAGCAAGTGACTCAGCGAGTGGAGCAAACCTAACATGCGGTGTGATAATAAAATACTTTATTCATATCTATACTATGTAATTGTGCTGCTATCTGTCTTTATATTTATCTACTTATTTATTTGATGTAGTTAGATGTAAAGCCCATGATCTGATGATTGTGCCCTATATGTGAAGGTGTTTATCAATAAAGAATTGTATGGATCATTGTTCCTAGGTTGAAAGGTAACTGAATAGCAAAACCTCATTACATAACTTCAGAATACCACATACAGTATGCATAAACCCAGAAAACATTTTTACTAGACTACAGGGCATAATAAAGTCATGTAAATGTATAGCATGAAAATTCATGCGTTAGCACTCCAATTGATGATTCTGATATGTACTGTCTGTGCTAACATGAATTTTCGTGCTAGAAAATGTATAGATAAAAAATAACAGTTTAAAATAGACAACTACTCAAAGATACATGGAATTAACATGAGTATTAAAGAAAGGAGGCTAAATACCACTTTAAACAATAATAAAAATTATCTTTTTATAAATATAATGTAGATTCCAAGAAAGGCGCCAAAGTTAAAACCAGTGAACCACCTCCCCACAAGGACGAGAGTACGAAAATTGCATCATCCAATCTTGATCTCTTACACTACTTGACTGAAGAATCATGGAGATCCCTCTTGAAAGAAGAGTTCAGCAAGGATTACTTCAAAAATCTGACTGCCCAGCTGAGTAGAGATTATGCAGCAGAAAAGGAAATCTTTCCACCAAGAGAACTCATCTTTAATGCACTGAATGCTGCTCCAGTAGATAAGGTGTGGCATAGTTTACTTTCTCAGCTTCTTTTTTAATCCCCTCTTCTTCATCCCTTGATCCTACTATCTCTCCCTCTGTTCTGTTAAAAAGACACTGTCTCTCTTTTCATGCACTAATGCATGGTTAGAATTCTATTGAGACAATTAGTTTTCTCTTTTCCCTCTCTCTCTCTTTCTTTTCTCTCTCTCCTCTCTCTCCCCCCCCCTCTCTCTCTCTCTCTCTTTATTCATGTAATCATACATTTCTTTGAAACAATATTTTACTATTTCAATACATTGCAGGTAAAAATCGTTATTCTTGGACAGGATCCATACCATGATAATGGGCAGGTAAGCAATATGTCTGGGAAATGAGCTTCACCTTGGTTGAAAAATATTTTGCTAAGTTTAAAATCAGAAGAGGAAATTTTTTGTCAGGTGAGTCTACAAAGGTAATCATGGATGGCATCATTTAAGCACTTGAATATCTTTATTTCATTGTCAGAAAATTAAAGGATATTGATACAGTGTGCTTCATATAAATATTGTCAGCTTGAAAATGACTTTTCTCTTTATCGTAAAGGTAGAGGGGTATAGAAGTATATTTTGTGATTAATAACTAGTAAATGGCAAGAACATGCTTTATACAGGGGTCACAGAGAGAGATTGTTTTTCATGATATTTTGATTCTGAGATATTTTTCTGGCTATTCGTCAGCTGTGCACGTTTCTGTACCATGTTCAGCTTAACATTTTGCACAACAATGACAACATCATTATTCTGATATCTGGTAGAGAGTATGAATATATGCCTTCCATGTAGAAATGACAGATTTTATGTCATACACAAAGGCATATAGCTTTTAGCAGATGGTAAGGGATTTCAGTTAAAATTCCAAAAGATGGCCAGGAAAAACATAAATCAGTTGAAGGTGTACAGCGAGCTTTAAGGACAAACCATTCCTAANAATTATGCTATAAAAGGGGATATCCTCCCTGTCACATGTGCTCCACAAGTTTGTTTCCTGCTGGTTAGTTAATTTGCCAGGTCCATTTCCATTCAGATGACTCTCTTACATAATAGCCTGCCTAATTAGTTGTCATTTACTCATAGCTTACCAGCACAGTTGAAATTGCTAAGATAGCATTCAGATAGACACATTGTATTAGTTGGGCTGGTCCAACCCTACAGGGGCTCTCGCTAAGTGCAATCAGTTTGACTGAATGACATGTCTCCTGAGGCAGCTAAGAAGTAATTAACTTAAACATGTAGACAAGTAAGCTGATTCCACTGATTGCAATTAGCAAGAATCCCCCTCAGAGTTGGACTCAACTAGCATGATGCGTCTATCTGAATGCTTCCTAAGATTTAAAGCTCACTGTGAAAAGGTCTTTAAGACCCCATTCCCAGAGATTAGATCGATCTACTTTAGATTGACCTAACTCCCTGGGGGTTCACGCTAAATAGCTGTCAGCCGAGCGGGCATGAAAGTTAATTACCCCCTTACAACTTGTAGTAGGCAGGGCGGACATTTAAGCCGGATATTCTGACAGTAATCTAGTGAGACTTCCCGCGGAGATAGATCGATCTAAAAGCCCTGGGAATACGCCCTAAAGCTTACATGCGGTAACGGGCCCATTGAAAGACTTGGCAAAACATAGCAGGAACATTACTAGATGTTTTGATAACATCAGATATTATGATCTCTGTTTTGGTGCAAAAAAAAAAAAAAAAAAAAAAAGCTGTCTTTTAAACTTTGAACAACATAAACTTGCATTATAATTCCTCTACCTAGCATTCTATTTGTGAATAATCAATGGTGTACTTCCAAGGCATAAAACATCCTTTTTTTTATATCTTTCATGAAATTAATATAATTTTCATCCTTTAACAGTTTAAGGCAATTCAGAATTTTATATGCTTACTAGTATGTGAGCCTAGGGCACAATTTGAATATCATACTGTATTTATAATCAAGTCAGCCAAGTATAAATGTACATGTTATCCTTATACACCCTTTTCAGAAATCTTATTCACTTGAAATAAAGACTTCCCAGTTTTGCTATACTTTCTTTTCACTAGTCTGATTTAGTTACTTACTTATCAATATCTGATAACCTTTTAGCAATTTATCTTTCCTTAAGCTATGACCTTACATTGAAAGAACTACATAAAAATAATACTGGGTTTCAAAATGCTCACATATTTTAATTAAGCATGCCTTTAAGCAGTTAAATAAATGCAAATACCTACAAATTTTAAGATAATCATAATCTACTTAAAGAACATGTTACTGTTAAGTTATTTAAACACAACTTGCACTTTGAAGTATTTTTTTTAAGTCTCTCTCACTCTCTCAACACTAAAACATAACCTCTGTAAGTACATTTAAAGATAAAGTGACTTGGTAAAAAAACTAGTCTTTTGCTAATCCTTTAGTCAACTTCCACGTAAATCTATTATTCATTTATCTATTTGATTCTACTTTTTTCTATTTGACTTCTCCTTCTGTAACCCATCTGTTTCCCAAGTAATGACACAACAGTAGTAAGTCAATACAAAATGAATGTTTTATATGCTGAGATGTGGTGTGATAAACCTTGCTAAATCACTGGTTTCATTTCCCTTAAGACTGCATTCCCACAGATTTTAGATTGATCTATCCCTGTGGGGAGTCTCACTAGATTGCTGTCAGCGTAGCCAGCTTACTAGTAATTGTCTGTCCTGCCTACTAAAAGCTGTAAGTGGGTAATTAACTACCGTGTGCTCGGCTGACATCAATTTAGCGTGAACCCCCAGGGAGTTAGGTTGATCTAGATGGATCGATCTTAATCTGTGGGAATGCAGTCTACGACTCTTCAGCACACTGTAACACACTTGAGTTGACCCAGGGCTTGACCTAATTAGTAAACTACATGCTACTTTTTCTATAGAATAGATTTGGTCTTTATTGCTTTAAACAAACAACTTGAATGACTATTTGTTTTCTTAACACACTGTCAGCATTACTTCCACCAAACACTCCAACTAAGGTAATAATGTTTCAAGTGTTTTGTAAGTGAAACCTTTTCCTTTTGCCCTCAGACATGAGCTTGGGTTTTAAAAAAAATGTCTCTGAACATTTACTATGGGACCAAACACTTACAACGTAGTCTTTAGAGATTTAGCTGCCAAAATTGATTTTCTCAGGGCAAAAAGGGATTTCTCCTACTGAGGGACCATTACTCAAACTGTCTCTGCACTTGGATTCAATGTTTTATGCCATTACTAATTGAATGATTTGTTAAAGAGAGTGAATATAATAGTTTTGAATGACAGGCCAGTCGATTCAGCAGAAACTATCGATATCAGGTACTTAAATTCGGAGGGTTTTATGGTTTTAAGGGCCTGAATTGGGAAAGATCTGTGTTCTGAAACAATTTCTCTTAACCATACTCACTCTGGTTAAGACCCTTCCACAGCTTAATGAAAACAATCCATATGTTTTTTTCAATGGGCATAAAAGGCATCCGTGAAAAACGATCAAATATTTCAAGATTCTGAGGCTTCTACAAAAGCTTGGCACTCTGACAAGTAATTCAATGTACAATGTATTAAATATAATTATAACTTTTCAACAAAAATCCAAATATCAAATTTTCACATCAAAACAGCTAGCTAAACTCTCTTTTATGCATAAAAAGACTACATCCTCCAAGAAAGGGGATATAAAAAAAAACTTGTTTTTAACTTTTTTTTGTCATGACACCTAAATATGAAGCAAAATTCTGTTCCAGCTGTGAAATATGACTTACTACAACCTATGAACAACTGTGTAATGTGGATTATTTCGCCTTATTGTTCACAGTGGCATTGCCCAACACTTGAAACTATTCACATTCGAGTTTGGAATGTGAACATTTCTTTTCCACGCCTGTCACTGGGAAAACTCTAATCGTCCCCCGACATAGGCTTAATATTGTTTTGTTGTATTTTTGATACTTTCACAATAACGCAACCGTCGGATCTGAGAGAAAATATTATTTGTATTAAGTTCCGATTTTTATTTGAATTTTAATAAATTCTTATTTCAACCCCTCACAAAAATTAAATTCTGGCGAAGTAAAATTCGTGACATGACAGTCGGACAGGTAAAAAAGATACGTTAATTTTATTAGTACAAAACATAAAAAACAGTGTCTTTCTAGCGTAACCCTTCCCTTATGCCTGGTTGTCAAGATTGGGATCTTGAAGACTAAATCTGAGCACCCCACCCTCCTACACTGAGTGAAGACTGCACTCACTTGCAAACACCGGGCCTCCACCAGATAGATTCATATGCAATGCATGATATTTCTGACACCAATTATCAACTATGAAAGGTTAAATAAACAAGGCATACCTTGTATTTCGCTGCAAACTCAAAGTCCAATGCTGTAATGGTCTATGTTTGCAAATTTGCCGCTAAATCCGAGCGAACAAACAAAATGCACCACATCCGGTACACATGCGCAACAAGCCAGGTGCGCTGAAAGTAGTTTTCCATTTAGATAAATGCGCGTTTCGTTTCGACTGAACTGAACGGCTTTTAAGTTTTTGCACTGAATTTCATTGATGTGGCATGTGTGGTCGTTCACATGCCTTCTTGATTATATCAAAACTAATTATAACAAATATACATTTGGACTATATTTCTAAGCGGTGCAGACGGTGTGTTCCAAGGCACTTCCGTCAACAAAGCAACATGCCACCAAAACGTAAAAACGTGCCAAGCAAGAAAGATGAGAGTGAATCTGCAAAAGCCAAAAAGAAAATGAAAATATCAGGTGAAGTTATAAGTGTACACGTGTGTAAAAGATTGTGGATATAGAACATTAAAAAAAAAACAAGTAAACTGCTTTTGCAAGGAGGGAAAAGATTCACTACCAGTAAAACTAACTAGTATGTGCTGTAGCATACAGAACATGCAACTACACGTATACTGGTACAAATGTACATGTAAAGTAGTACTGTATAACAGTAGCATTGCACACTCTCGGTTGTCACCTAGGACATGCCGCCTTCCTGATAATACTCAAAATTGATCTTAGGTTTAGTCATCACTTCCATTTTAATTTATTATTATACTGTAACTACTGTTTATCATTTTGCTATTAATTATTATTCTTATGTGAGCAAGTGACTCAGCGAGTGGAGCAAGCCTAACATACGGTGTGATAATAAAATGCTTTATTCATATCTATACTATGTAATTGTGCTGCTATCTGTCTTTATATTTATCTACTTATTTATTTGATGTAGTTAGATGTAAAGCCCATGATCTGATGATTGTGCCCTATATGTGAAGGTGTTTATCAATAAAGAATTGTATGGATCATTGTTCCTAGGTTGAAAGGTAACTGAATAGCAAAACCTCATTACATAACTTCAGAATACCACATAAGTCTACAGTAATGCATAAACCCAGAAACATTTTTACAAGACTACAGGGCATAATAAAGTCATGTAAATGTATAGCATGAAAAATCATGCGTTAGCACTCCAATTGACGATTCTGATATGTACTGTCTGTGCTAACATGAATTTTCATGCTAGTAAATGTATAGATAAAAAATAACAGTTTAAAATAGACAACTACTCAAAGAAACATGGAATTAACATGAGTATTAAAGAAAGGAGGATATATACCACTTTAAACAATAATAAAAATTATCTTTTTACAAATATAATGTAGATTCCAAGAAAGGCGCCAAAGTTAAAACCAGTGAACCACCTCCCCACAAGGACGAGAGTACAAAAATTGCATCATCCAATCTTGATCTCTTACACTACTTGACTGAAGAATCATGGAGATCCCTCTTGAAAGAAGAGTTCAGCAAGGATTACTTCAAAAATCTGACTGCCCAGCTGAGTAGAGATTATGCAGCAGAAAAGGAAATCTTTCCACCAAGAGAACTCATCTTTAATGCACTGAATGTTACTCCAGTAGATAAGGTGTGGCATAGTTTACTTTCTCAACTTCTTTTTTAATCCCCTCTTCTTCATCCCTTGATCCTACTATCTCTCCCTCTATTCTATTAAAAAGACTCTCTTTTCATACACTAATGCATGGTTAGAATTCTATTGAGACAATTAGTTTTCTCTTTTTCCCCTCTCTCTTTCTTTCTCTCTCTCTCCTCTCTCTCCCCTCTTTCTCTCTCTCTCTTTATTCATGTAATCATACATTTCTTTGAAACAATATTTTACTATTTCAATATATTGCAGGTAAAAATCGTTATTCTTGGACAGGATCCATACCATGATAATGGACAGGTAAGCAATATGTCTGGGAAATGTGCTTCACCTTGGTTGAAAAATATTTTGCTACATTTAAAATCAGAAGAGGAAAATTTTTGTCAGCTGTGTCTACAAAGGTAATCATGGATGGCATCATTTAAGCACTTGAATATCTTTATTTCATTGTCAGAAAATTAAAGGATATTGATACAGTGTGCTTCATATAAATATTGTCAGCTTGAAAATGACTTTTCTCTTTATCGTAAAGGTAGAGGGGTATAGAAGTATATTTTGTGATTAATAACTAGTAAATGGCAAGAACATGCTTTATACAGGGGTCACAGAGAGAGATTGTTTTTCATGATATTTTGATTCCGAGATATTTTTCTGGCTATTCGTCAGCTGTGCACGTTTCTGTACCATGTTCAGCTTAACATTTTGCACAACAATGACAACATCATTATTCTGATATCTGGTAGAGAGTATGAATATATGCCTTCCATGTAGAAATGACAGATTTTATGTCATACACAAAGGCATATAGCTTTTAGCAGATGGTAAGGGATTTCAGTTAAAATTCCAAAAGATGGCCAGGAAAAACATAAATCAGTTGAAGGTGTACAGCGAGCTTTAAGGACAAACCATTCCAAATGTGTTTCATTTTCCGCATGTGCCAAAATTAAGCCGGCCTATACATTGTAATGAAAATGATATGTCTTAGTAGCAACTTGTCTCTCTCTGTCTCACTTTATCTTTCTTTTTGCAGGCCATGGGTATGGCATTTTCTGTCCCTCGTGACTTTCAGCCTGTCCCTCCATCTCTGAAGAATATGTACAAAGAACTGGCTGTAGATATCCCAGGATTCCAAATTCCATCCCATGGGTCTCTGGAGACGTGGGCGCAGCGAGGGGTGTTGCTGCTAAATGCAACACTAACTGTGGAGTAAGATGAGGATTTCAGAGTTTGGCGATTGAGTTTTAAATTTGACCAAGTTTATCATCAATATTTTTCACTTAATGCATTTTATTTACTGACTGATTCCAAAACACGATAAATGAATAGAAAAATAAATTTCCCTTTTTCTCCTCAAGCATTTGGACCCACCAGTGTTGTAATTTTTTAAAAATTTTATTTGGAAGAGCCCATCAGCCTATATCCCACTCCTGATGGATGGCAAATGTTCGTTCACCTGCTCTATCATCACTCATATCAGTATTTTTATTATTATTATTATTATTATTATTATTATTATTCATTTTCCAGGGCCCATCAGCCAAACTCCCACTCCAAATATGGATGGCAGAAGTTCACTGACTCAGTCATCACTCACATCAGCCAGGATTGCCGCGGGGTGGTGTTTATCCTGTGGGGAGGTTTTGCACAGAAAAAGGAGAAATTAATCGATGACAGCAAGCACTGTGTTATAAAAGCAGCCCACCCCTCTCCTCTCAGCTTTAATAAATTCTTTGGCTGCAAATGTTTTTCTAAGGCTAATGATGCTCTTGTTAAAATGGGCCGTGATCCTGTGAATTGGAGTATTGTTTGAACTGCTAGACAAAGGGTACAGTTTAGCACATGTATTTGTGCAAAATAAGTACATGCACATGTTAGTTTGTGGTTGTGCATGTGCGCATGTAGGTGTTTGTGGTTTGTGGCCAGGAATTTAAAAGAGCAGCTCATTTTCTTTAAAATTTGACTTTTTTCCGTCAGACCTACATGTGCATCAGGACAGGTCACATTTTGACTGCAAGTGGACCTTTTCTCAGCCAAGTTTGGTTCTTCTGTCTACAGGCCTTATATGAAAGGAAGAGATTTACACCCCATTTCCATAGATTAGATCGACCTACTTTAGATCGACCTAAATCCCTGGGGGTTCACGCTAAATAGCTGTCAGCTGGGCGGACACGAAAGTTAATTACCCCCTTACAGCTTGTAGTAGGCGGGATGGACATTTAAGTCGGATTATCTGAAAGTAATGTAGTGAGACTCCCCGCGGGGATAGATCGATCTAAAATCTATGGGAATAGAGCCTTAGAGTAGGAGTGAAAAAGTGCCAATCTAAATTGTCATGTGTATTGTGTAAAGAAAATACACAAGTCCTGCAGTTATATATATATATATATATGGATGACTTAAAGATGCATACAAAGTCAATTTTTTGTCACAAAAACCAACCAAATGCCAGCATATAGTTTCAAGTAGTATAACTAAGAGAATTACGAAAAGGCATTGTTTAATTTTACCCGAAAATGATGTTTGAACAGATTTTTCTGCTGGCATTCTAAGCTGTATGTCAATGGGGCAGGAAAGTAGGTCACGAAAGTAGGTTAAATTTACAACCAAAAATTTAAAGAAAGGAGCAGTCTAAAGGTCTTTTATGGCTGATCGAGTGATTTATCCACTTTATCCCTTGGCATGTCAAATTTATTTGAGTCATATAAGAATCTAATAGAAGTGGTTTACATGTGTTACTGGGAATCCACGCTCCACCAATGCTCGGTTTGTATGTACCTTTAATGTGTTACAATATCTGTGTGTAGCCTGTGACATTGTGGATATTTTCTTAATATTAACTCTTGCTGCTAAGCTATTAATAAACTATGGGCACATTCATATTCACAAACCACACAAGCTGGGTCAGTCCAACTCTGCAGGGATTCTTGCTTATCAGCGCACAGTGGTTAATTTCCCCTCTAGCTGCTTGTCAGACAATTAAACTGGTTGCACTTTAGCCAGAATCCCCCCCTGTAGTGTTGGGTTGACCAAGCTAGTACACGTATGATATGTGAATCTGAGTGCAGTCTATGATACACTGTTATCAAGATCAAAATGTATTGTTACAAACTTAGTTTTAACCAACAGGATGTGATATTGTACTGTGATACTATACTGTGCCACTAAACTGATGAATGTGTATGAATGATATTGTAAAATATAATAACAGGACCATCTCAGATGGCAATTATCTAAAATGTATATGTATTAAGGTTGTCAATGTATGATGTTATTTGCCTTCCTCTGCTTCTTCATCCTTCAATTTTCCCACAGGGTATAATTTATATCATTAGACATACCATATTGTTGTGACTTTTACAAATAGCAAGTGAGGCATATATGTTTTTTGAAAAATTTTATATAATATAATATAATAGGTAAAATGGGGAGTTAAAATTTTTATTGAGGATATACAATGACTTTGATTTTGTAATTGATATTCATACAGTCCTTACCCGGAGCTTAAGATATGATGCAGGTCATCTTGTTAATTAAGGAACCTCTATTACTAGCCATCTTAGAGACAGGTAATTTGGTTTCTAATTCTTACTTGTGAAAAAGATATGAAGAGTATAATAATATTTGATAATATTAGATATTGTGCATATGTGTTCAGTCAAGTTTTTTTTCATCAGTATCTGTAATTGCTGTTTGAATAGTATCCATAAATTGATCAAGTTAAGTTGTGTAAAATGAGTTTTAAATATATTGTTGTTATATTGCGTTATTATTATTATTATTATTATTATTATTATTCATACCAAGATCATGTGTATTACACGAAGAAAATTGTTATTTATGCTCATTAACTCAATGTTTTAAATTACTTCATATTGTTTATATAAATGTTTACCACAAAAACATTTTCAGTAACATTTGTTTGCAATTGCAAATTTTTCTTTAATATGGAAATAAACCAAATTTGTCAAGGAGACCTGGGCCCCGTATCTCGAAAGCATCGCGCATTGCGACCGTGCGCAAGCCTCTCGATTCCATAACTCGCCCATACTCGCCCGTACTCGCCCCATATAATACATTGTAGCCTCTATGTCATATCGCTATTCGAATACGCGATGCTTTCGAGATACGGGGCCCTGGAAGTTTTGAAGGCACAGTTTTCGAAGACGTTAACTCATCAAAACATATTTTTATCTCGCTTTTACCATTATATCTCATTGAAAGCAAATCGGTTAAAAATTCTGCATAAAACTAATAAAAAATGTGTTGCCTGTGATCAATCTTTATTTTTCTTTTTGGATATAATTGCATTTTTCACATTCATGTAATTGCGCACCGTATTTAGAATATACACTTGTCTTATCCTCTAGCAGAAGACCGTTGCCTTAGGATGACAAACCGGCGGGTGGTGCTGATTTTGGCTCAATCCTCGGGGAGTAAAAGACCTGGGAAATTTAAACGGATAATGTACAGACATTGTTGAACATGCACGCGCGTCGCATTTAAAGATAAAGATGTGTTTCCNTACCTAGGAAGGACTGAATTCACACTAGCGACACCTGGCGCCAAGCGGGCTGGTATTCCCCATTGCTGTTTGAATAGTATCCATAAATTGATCAAGTTGTGTAAAATGAGTTTTAAATATATTGTTGTTATATTGCATTATTAATATTATTATTATTATTATTATTATTATTATTATTATTATTATTCATACCAAGATCATGTGTATTACACGAAGAAAATTGTTATTTATGCTCATTAACTCAATGTTTTAAATTACTTCATATTGTTTATATGAATGTTTACCACAAAAACATTTTCAGTAACATTTGTTTGCAATTGCAAATTTTTCTTTAATATGGAAATAAACCAAATTTGTCAAGGAGACCTGGGCCCCGTATCTCGAAAGCATCGCGCATTGCGACCGTGCGCAAGCCTCTCGATTCCATAACTCGCCCATACTCGCCCCTACTCGCCCTATATAATACATTGTAGCCTCTATGTCATATCGCTATTCGAATACGCGATGCTTTCGAGATACGGGGCCCTGGAAGTTTTGAAGGCAGAGTTTTCGAAGACGTTAACTCATCAAAACATATTTTTATCTCGTTTTTACCATTATATCTCATTGAAAGCAAATCGGTTAAAAATTCTGCATAAAACTAATAAAAAATGTGTTGCCTGTGATCAATCTTTATTTTTCTTTTTGGATATAATTGCATTTTTCACATTCATGTAATTGCGCACCGTATTTAGAATATACACTTGTCTTATCCTCTAGCAGAAGACCGTTGCCTTAGGATGACAAACCGGCGGGTGGTGCTGATTTTGGCTCAATCCTCGGGGAGTAAAAGACCTGGGAAATTTAAACGGATAATGTACAGACATTGTTGAACATGCACGCGCGTCACATTTAAAGATAAAGATGTGTTTCCACCTTTTAAAAATTTTGATTTTGATATTTAGTATAATATTAGTAGATGAGGTGATAACAGAAGATATAAACAGGGAAAGAGAGCGAAAGACGGATCAAGAGAAAAAGACCGAGAGAATTCAAGAGAGAGAGAGAGAGGGAATGGAAATGGAGTAAGGTACCATACCGGTTGGTGCTTCCCAGTTACAACCAACTGGGCCGTTTTCTGACGGCCCTTCAGCAGAATGGCATTTGCAGGAAAATGTTGCACTGTTTTCCCAGGTTATTATCTTGCCTTGACGTCTATGGTCAATATACAAGCATACCTGTAAACATCAAGACACAAACATTTGAAATGACTCATTTACACGCATCATGTCAAAATTCATTGCCTTGGTTAATTCAAGACATTTCTGACTTTCAGTTAAAACTGAAGATCATTTATTTATACATGCATTTATTTATTAATACAATTATTCATTCAATTGTTTGTTTGTTTGTTTATTTATACAATACCAGAGAGAGAGGGAGAGCATCTACCTGAGCCATATCCTGACACCTGCCAATTCGATCCACTCTGTGTCCATGGAAACCACCCTCTGGCAACCACTCGCATCCAGGAGGGCCATTTTCTCCTGGACCTTCCGACGAAAAGCAACGACAGGCTGTGGTGTAGCCAATATGGTCAATTGTCAAGGTAGTCCCAGTAACATTAATGTAACGGCAGATATCTTCAGTGCTGTCACACATTCGTCCCGGTCTGCCCCTGTGTCCCTTGTGACCACCGTGGTGACCGCCACCTCTGCGTGCAGACGCCAGTTCCCCGCCAAAAATTAGGCAGAAACAGACTAGGAACAAAACGCGCGACATGTCGATCGGCTGTTGACTGTTTCCGTGAACAGAATCGGCGTGAAGGATTTGGTTGAAAAAATGTAGCCTTCGTGGATGATTTTATATACTCGAAGCGTATTTCCTGCTAGGGAGGTCGTCACGTTTTTACATAAAGTCTATTTAGAATAATGTAATGTGCAATTAGGGATATAAATTAATAGTTAATTTCAGTGTTAGGATAATGGATTAAAAGGAAATTACTTTTTTTTCGTAATAAAGAGTGGCCTTGGTTGGATAATACATTAATACAGAAAGTTTTCACCTCAACCCTTGGTCTTGCATATATGTTTAATTTTCTTAGAAATAATGGCAACAAAAAACCTGACTTCAGGTCTCTTAAATATGGCTACCTCAACAGAATTCAGAACAAAGCAGGCAAAAATAAATGACAGACACGCAGAATTTTAGAAAAAAATTTGCTATACTGTAGTTCCCTATCATCTGTGATATTTCTAGGGCTTTTTTTTGCGTTTTAATCTCGGATGTAGCGGGGATAAAAACGTTGTTTACTGCACTATAAATAACAGGGTGGTCACATGTGCAGGCTCTTTTCAGCCCCTTGTTTAATTGATAATTGATTGCAATAGCAATACAGATGTAATTTATGACTTCCCAAATCGTCATAATATTATAGGATAATTCTCAATGCCGGAATACTGTGATTATCATGATTGTATTTATTCAATTAAGAAAAAAAGTACTTACTCGATATGTCAGGCTCACTATTAGTCAAATGACGAGAAAATTACATATTATGCCTGACTTTGTCTCCAAACTGGTATTTTAAGCATAGGAATGATAGCTCGATTATCTTTATCTCTAACATGTCTTGTGTCTCAAGGTTTTCACATCGGTGAGAGTTTGATAATTGAAAATATTAGATGAAATGTTTACTATGAGCGTTTGAAAATGTTCCAAAGTCATATTATCTATGCCTATATATCCTGCAGAGTTCCTTATCCTTCCCAGTTCAAGACTAAAATATTCCAAATGGATTATTCTGACAGGATACCGGTACCCTCCGACAAAGTCCCTCTGCAGAAAATTGACAAAAACTCTTTTATTTAATTTTGTAAGAATTGGTCGGATACCTGTTATTCTTGTGGCTATAAATAAACTATATAGGCACATTCAGATTCACACATCACACAAGCTGGGTCAGTCCAACTCTGCAGGGATTTTTGCTAATCAGGACACGATTAATTTTCCCCTGAGGCGTGTCAGACAGTTAAGCTGATTGCACTTTAGCCAGAATCCACCCCTCTGCAATGTTGGATTGACCCAGCTAGTACATGTATGATGTGTGTATATATCTTTCCAGCCCCTTGAATGAAATTTGACATTAAATGATAATTCTTAATGCCGGAGTACTGTGGTTATCATGATAATATTTATTCCATACAGAAGAAAAAAGTACTTACTCGAAATGTCAGGATTACTATATTAATATATTAGGCTGTAGTAGTCGAATTTCGAGAAAATTCCATATTATGCTTGACTTGGTATTTTAAGCATAGGAATGATAACCCGATTGTCTTTTATCTCTAACATGTCTTGTGTCTCAAGGTTTTCACATCGGTGAGAGTTGAAAATTTTAAAATATTAGATGAAAGGTATACTGTGAGCGTTTGAAATAATGAATTAAAAGAATTAAAAGAGACAGATCGTTCAAAATATTTGTGGGAATGGTCCCTTATCCTCTAGCAGAAGACCGTTGCCTGATGAAGATAAACCGGCGGGTGGTGCTGATTTTGGATCAATCCTCGGGATTTAAAAGACCTGGGAAATGTAAATTGGTAAAGCACAGACATCGTTGAACATGCATGCGCGTCTCATTCAAAGATAAAGATTTCACATTTTAACAATTTTAATATTTAGTATAATATTAGTAGATGACTTGATAACAGAAGATATAAACAGAGAAAGAGATCGAGAGACAGATCAAGAGAAAGAGATCAATAGAGAGAGAGAGAGAGAGAAAATGGAAACTGGAGTAAGTACCATACCAGTGGTGCTTCCCAGTTACATCCAACTGGGCCGTCTTCTGACGGTCCTTCAGCAGAATGGCATTTGCAGGAAAATGTCGCACTGTTTTCCCAGGTTATTATGGTGCCTTCACGCCTGGGGTCGATAAACAAGCATACCTGTAAACACAAACATTTGAGGCGACTCATTTACAGGCAAAGTGTCAAAAAACATAGCCTTGGTCAATTCATAGCATTTCTGACTTCAATTAAAAAAAACTGTAGATCATTTTATTTATTTATTTATTTATTTATTTATTTATTTATTTATTTATACAATTATACATTGGGTTGTTTCTTTGTTTATCTATTTATACAATACCAATGCGACTTTAAGCATTAGCATACTAGTAAGTTGCATTGGTGGATATAGGGGTTGGTGGTGGCGGGGGGGGGGGGGGGGGGGGGGGGGGGGGGGGGGGGTACTGCCCTCCTCCCTTCGATTTCCGAAAAAAGTTACACCAATGGTTCCCTTTTGAAATTAGAATTTTGACTAGCTGAATCATAATAGTTCTAAACCGTTTCAAATGGCACCGTTCGCCCTCTAAAATACCCAAAAAATTGGGGGCCTTTAAGCAGGCCCCAAACCCTGCACTAAGGGGGGAGGGGGTCGGCTTCGTATCCGCAGACCCCTCCTTCAAATAATCCTTGATTGTGTGTTGCCATTGATTACATTAAAATTTAACATTAAAAACCAGTATGAAATGTGGGAACAAACCATCGGTGGTCTTTTCTCTGGACACATCGACTCTATACCACAGGTGCTGGAGAGAGAGAGAAAGAGAGAGGGAGAGAGAGAGGAGAGAGAGAGAGAGAGAGAGAGAGCATCTACCTGATCCATATCGCGACACCTCCCAACTTGATCCGCGTGTCCATGGGCACCACCCTCTGGCTCCCAGTCGCATCCAGGTGGGCTATCTTCTCCGGGACCTTCCGACGAAAAGCAGCGGCACTTTTCGGTGAAGGTAATATGCTCAATTGTTATGACAAGCCCAGTGACATTAAAGTAACGACAGATATCTGAAATGCTGTCACACATGCGTCCCGGTCTGTCATCTATGCGTGCAGACCCCAGTTCCCCGCCAAAAATGAGGCAAATTAAACAGACTAGGAGTATAACGCGCGACATGTCGATCGGTTGTTGACTGTTTCCGTGAATGGAGTCAGTGTGAAGAATTTTTCTGAAAAATGTAGCTTTCTTCTCTGCTTTTATTTAATTTCAGCGAATTTCATGCCAGGGCAGTTACGTTTTTTACATGATGTCTATTTAGAATTGTGAAATGGGCAATAAGGGATATAAATTTATAGTTAATGTCAGTGTTAGGATAATTGCTTAAAAGGAAATTACTTTTTGTTTGTATTGTTGTAAACTTACAATTTCACAAATTTCAGGTAATTATTTAAGAGTAATATGATAGGGAGTTATTGAGTGTAAGATAAGATTCCTCTAAAAGAGTCAACAATTGCAGAAATTGTTTTCATGGTTGGAAAAGATGGAACATGTCAAAGTCATATAATTCGATCTGATTGGTTTATTTCTCAATAGACTTGCAAGTTTCTGACACTTGTAAAACACATACAAACTTAGGTTGTATATGGTCCAAGCAGGAGTAATTCAAATAATATTCTTAATATTTTAAATCGAAAACAAGTCTCTTGGAGATTGCCTAATAAGGAAATGTTGAATGGAGGAATGCAACATGAGAATGGAAAATTCCTTGTAATCAAGCAAAGACAATGGAAAGAAAACAAGTAAATGCATGCTCAGTACAGAAAAATAGAGTATAAATACTTGTAAATTTGTAGAGAGTTGGTGAATAAATGTTTGAACGCACTAGATTGTCGTTATTGTCACTATAAAATGAATAAAGAGTGACCTTGGTTGGATAATACAAGCATACAAAAAGGTCTCGCCTCAACCCTTGGTCTTGCACATGTTTAGTTTTCTTAGAAATAATAACACCAAAAAACTTGATTTCAAGTGTCTTTAATATATCTTCCTCACTAGAGTTTAGAACAAAGCAATATGCTGGGTCGTTGGCAAATGTAAATGACAGGCACGCGGAAATTTTGAATAATTTTTTTCGGTGTTAGGATAATTGCATAAAGGAAATAACTTTTTGTTCGTAATGTTTTAAAGTTAATGGCTTACACTTTCATTAATTTCAGGTAATTATGTAAGAGGAAACAAATGAGTAAAATGATAGGGTGTTATTGAGTGTAAGTTAAAATTTCTCCAAGAGTCAACAAGTGTAGAAATTGTTTTTCGTTTTAGGAAAAAATGGAGCACTCAGAATTTTTGAAAAAAAATTATTTTTATAGTTCCCTATCATCTGTAAAAATATGAAGTACATGGGTAAGCGTAAACATATATTAAAATACACGTTTCTTATCCTCTTATATTTCCCAATTCAGACCCTACAACGATAAAAGTCGTTTTGTATTGGCGGATTCACTGACTGACCATGCTTTTCGAACTAAATTATATATATTTAATCGGAAATTATAGAAAACATCGAATGCACACGCAGGGACGGGTCAAGCAAATATTCTTGAGCAGGAAACATTGTAATTTTTTTCCAGGTGATTTCTTTGCGTGTTAATCTCGGTTTGGATACCTTTAAACTGCATTTGCCAGGATTGAAACGTTGAGTACTGCACTATGAATTACAAGAGGGTGGTAGTAGGATCTTTCCAGCCCCTTGAATGAAATTTGACATTAAATGATTTCTTAATGCCGGAGTACTGTGATTTATTCCATACAGAAGAAAAAAGTACTTACTCGAAATGTTAGGATTACTATTAGGCTGTAGTAGTCGAATTTCGAGAAAATTCCATATTATGCTTGACTTGTTCTCCAAATTGGTATTTTAAGCATAGGAATGATAGCTCGATTATCTTTTATCTCTAACATGTCTTGTGTCTCAAGGTTTTCACATCGGTGAGAGTTGAAAATTTTAAAATATTAGATGAAAGGTATACTGTGAACGTTTGAAATAATGAATTAAAAGAATTCACCTTGTTTTCCTCAAACTCAAACGTTTACGTTATATTTACGTTATATAATGAGAAAAGGATTGAAAAGTGAAAAGCACTCACAAAGGACAAAAACTGGATAGTCATTTAATTGCATGTTGTTTCTTATATGTAGGCCTACATCGTGGTCATTGTCTACCGTCTACCAGGGCCGCAGTTATTATTGTGGACATTTTTTGCTGAGGCGACATCAGACCAAAAATGACTGTCTATTTATCCAAGGACATATCTTTGAATATCTGTCAAAAATCAATCTGTAGCCCTGGTAGAGGGTAGTCATTGTCCATACAACACAGCTACTGCGGTCGCACTGCTTAAATACGTACCTATATTAACAAAACCCGCAATCTTAAAGCTATTCTGCATTTGACAGAAGTTAGCGTACCTGGCATTATAAAAAATCGACATGGAAAAACAAGTGGAACAAAAGGTTCCGCTATAGTTTTACCCGCAAGTTTGTTCACTTGATTTAAAAGGCGCGGACTACCTGGGGGACATTTTTTAAAGTTTCACCCGGCAGCTTGTTTACTAGGTTTAATATAGATGCACACTTAGAGAGAGACTACCCGTTTCCAGACTATGTAGCGGTAAAAAGAGGTGCCTTGAGCATTGTAAGTTTTCAATTCTTTTCCTTCTTTTATCACGAGAGACGATAGCGTCATACTACATTATCATGATAAACCTCAGATGGAAGTAACATTGGATAAAAAGCGCGGAATATACTGTAATTGCCTGGCGCTTAATTCATCAAATCATTTTTTTGCTTATGAACTTTTGCCATTGAATCATCTGCACTAGAATCTCTGATGTTTTTAGTTTGAACGAAGTTAAACGAACATATATTTACTAAGATTGTGTTCATATGGAAAGACAGTCGCCACATTTACCCCCCTTTTACACTATGCAGGAGTTTGGGTGTAGACCCGGAGCACGTTTAATATATCATCGAGCGGAAGGGCACCGATCTCTCGTGGATGAAGATAGGGCACTCACTACTACTGAATCGTGTCTTTAACAGCGAAAGCAGATTGTAATATGTATAAATATTGTTCAAAACTGCCCTCCTTTCTAACAAAAGTTATACGCAATGGAGTCCATTGCCATTATTCCTGTCTTTCCCATAACTACACGTAGATTTATCAACCCTTGCCAGCAGTGCAGAGCTGGAGGACGTGGGTGCGACCCGTGCGGAGACATACCGCCATTCATTATGAAAAAAAATCGAAGCGGTAGAGTTATTCTCACTACTAGACTCGAGGCAAAGCAAGAATGCACCACTACCCCTGTATGTATGTGTCCTCAAAGCCCCCGCATTTGACTGTGAACTTAGGTAAAAATCAATAACACAACAAAAGAAAAAAGCTCAACAAAAGCTCAGCGTTAGTTTAACCTGATACCTTGTTTACCAGATTTGTATGACGAGCAGCAAGGAAGACGGAAAATGTGGGACCATGTAACTGTCTAGAAGATGTCTTGAGCATTGTAAGGTAAAAATGCATTATGCCATTTTTATTGTTTCATGGGAGGGCGTTAGATTACTATAATGTTCAGGTCCAAGTAAAATGATGAACAATTTTGAAGTTCACTCTTTTTAAGGGACAAAGATATTGATCTAATTTCTGATCGTTACTGAATTTTGTTATTATCATGGAGCCCTCATCAACAATATCAGTCTGGTTGGGGAGTTGGAGATTTGTTTGATTTTTTCTCGGCGCATGAATTATTCTGCATTTGTAGCATTAACATCGCAGAATTTTCCTCAATATTCTATGTATTATATGGGCGTGTAGAAGTTTGGATTAAGAAAGATTTGGGCGTTGTTAGGTAAATAAAATAAACATATTCTTTTATATTTTACATATATTTAGTATTTGCGTATAAGTGCACATGGAATCAATGCAAGGCAACAGTTTTAGAGGAGACAGTCACCTGTGTCGTTATTTGTTGAACCAAGTTTTGCTTATGAACACTTGCCATCGATGTTTACCCTAGTACAGTGTACCTCTGCTGTCATTGTAGTTACCTGGGCTCCGTATCTCGAAAGGTTCGCTATGTTGCGCATGTGCGCAAGTGTCTCGATTCCATAACCGATTCTATTTCGAGATACGTTGCCATGGAATCGAGACACTTGCGCACGTGTGCAACATAGCGAACCTTTCGAGATACGGAGCCCAGATCTCCGTGTATTCAGCATTCATCGATTGTAATGTAGATATCAAATATAACGATCAATATGCTGTGATCGTGTCCTAAAAAATGAACACCCACCATTGTTCCCCCACCATTGTTCCCCCCCATCCCCCCCATGCGGAGGTCAGAGGGCACATCATCAAGGTTTAGAGTCGACTCTTTATCGAAATAGGAAGAAACGGTTTTTATCTTTAATGAAGTGTCTTAAAGTGTATATATAGTGTCTTAATGTGTATATATAGTGATATGTTATTTTTCTTCAGAAATGCCATTTCTATCATTAAAACTATCATAAAGTAATCAATTCACGCTGCTTAATGTTCAGATCCGATAAATAGATTTGCAGATATAATAGTTGTATTGTCAGCAGGCTATCCTCCCCTTTCAATGTCATGCAAACCTTTAGAAGGTGTTTTATTGTAAAAGAATCAACGCTATTTGGTTAAAATGAAATATTTATTAAAAATGTTTACAAAACTAAAGAATGGAGGGCTCGTGTGTTATTAGCGCAGGTGTATATAGAAATAATATATTTCTTCCTTTTTGTCTATCGGTACATTTGAAAACACCCGAGCAACAATTCTTTTCTCTAAAAATGTTTTTTTTTTGCAGACAAATGTTCATTTTTGGCCATTTGTTTCAAGTCGAGAATGTCAGAGACTTCGAAAAAAGCAGATTTTTTGTAAATTTTTGAACTGGCTGGAATGGATCATAAATTATACTTATTACAATGAGAAATGTTTTTTAAAATTATCCTTTGAAAGTAAAATCTAAACCAACTTTGGGAGAGCATAGCTCTTAAAGTGTTTTTTTTTGTTCACATATGTCATGTATACAGAGATTTTAGAGGACATGAAAAAGGGGAAAAAACAACAACGATTCAATGTAATCTTTCTGAGGGAACGCAATAATTACATGTATTACATTTGAATGAAAACTTTGCAAGAGAACGCAATACTTTTTACGTTTGAAAGCAATCTTTGTCAAGGAACGCAATAATTTTTACTTTCGGATAACAGTAAACATTATCATGTTTTGCAGATGCTCCAAGGCTACCAATGCAAGTCCACGTGCATCATGCAGATACAGGACCTTAGTTGGGTTATTGGCTTTTGATAAGGTACATTTCTTCTCTACTGTTCTTCTATCTCGCTATGTTAAAGGCATAATAACTCTTTGTATGAGACCTATATTTCACAATAAAAACCTTGTGAATAACTCATAGAAATATAATATATTCTGTTTTACCACAAAGACAGCAGTTATAGCTTTTATTCTGATATTTGAACTTGTCTTTAGACCACGTGACCTCCATTGATGTCTATACTCTGTTAAAATCTCTTAAGAGATTTTAACAAAAAAACCAACTTTTTAGAAAAAAACCAGGGACTAACTTTGAATGTAAAAATGGATTCATTAACTATTGGTAAGCATGGGAAAATTGTTGTTTACTCCAGGAAAATTCATTTTTTGGCCGAAACGAAGAGTTATTATTGCTTTAAATTCATAATGCCAACGGCATGCACATGCGCTTTAGTAGTTTTGCAACCAACGTTAGGGAACTGAAATTTTGTTTTTAAAGCTTAAGACCTTTGGAATGAAATTGTCGACATAACTACTTGGTAATTTTCAGCAGGACTGGAGAGTCTCAGTCACCTGATTATTTGGTAAATGTCTTACCTAATTTTCATACATAATGAATTTTTAGCAAGAGAAATGGCATTTTGCATGTGCTTTAAATAAAGTGTGATCTCTCTCTCTTTTTGATAATTTCTGTATTTCTCTATTTTCTAATTAATTTAGGAATGCGAGTCTTGGATGCAGATCCAACTCCTGCTGGTTCTTTAATCAAAACTTAAGTGAATTTAATTTTTTTTTTCACAAAAATGCTCTGAGCAGTTGAAACAGCTATACGCTGTATACTAGTACATCAGAGAAATGGAATGAGGAAATACATGTACAGGGGTAGCAAAATTAAGCAATAAAATTTTCTGCAAAATTATGTGGTTTAATTTCAGGTATCCCAATATAATCAATATGTCAGCAAACAAAGATTCACCAGAATGGAAAAAGCTTGAATTGTTGCAAAAGCTGGACAAAAATCCAAGATACGCTGGACCAGATGCAGAAGAAGCAAAGGGGTGGACAAGCCTCAATCTTCAAAGAATTGGAAGAAGAATTCCACAGAGTATACGTCGATGTATTAAACTTAGAATACTTGATATATCTGGTAATGGAAACCTAGGCCATGCAACATGGGGTGCAATACACGCACTAACAGGTCTAGAGGAGTTGAATGCATCAGCATGTGGAGTCAATGTGATCTCAATGAAATTCGATCAGCTGGCAAACCTAATTAAATTAGATCTTTCAAAAAACAACTTGAAAGAATTCCCATCGTCAATATTTGAACTGAAGTCATTGGAAAAGCTTAACCTGGGCTATAACAACATCGCCACAGTTCCTCCACAGGCAAAGCAACTGAAACATCTTAAAAGCCTTGACCTGTCCCGAAACGAGCTGGAAGACTTCCCAGCACCAATATATGAGCTGGAGACACTAGAAGAGGTTAATGTGAGCTTTAACAACATTGCGGCAATTCTGCCACAGGTGGAAAAAATGAAGAATCTGAAGGTGCTAAAGCTGTTCAAGAACAACCTGAAAGAATTCCCAATGCCGGTGTGTGCACTTAAGACACTAGAAGAAGTTGACCTGAGCTTTTCCAACATCAGAACAACCCCATCAAAGGTAAAGCAATTAAAAAATCTGAAGATTTTGAAACTCTCTAACAACAATCTGGATGAATTCCCAATACCAGCATGCGAACTGGAGGCACTAGAAGAGGTTGACCTGGACAACAACAACATCACCACAATTCCGCCACAGGTTAAACAACTGAAGAATCTTAAGGTACTAAAGCTGTTAAAGAACAGACTGCGAGAATTCCCAAAACCAGTATGTGAGCTGGATTCACTAGAAGAGGTCGACATGAGCCATAACAACATAACAACAGTGCAACCAGAGGTAAAACAGTTGAAAAAGCTGAAGAAGCTAAGGCTGAAAGACAACGACCTGAAAGAATTTCCAATAGCAGTATGTGAATTGGAGGCACTAGAAGAGGTCGGAATGAGCGATAATAAGATCACCACAGTTCCAACAGAGGTGATTCAACTGAAGAATTTGAAGTCTCTAAATCTGCAGAAGAACAAATTGGACCAATTTCCAATTTCAGTATGTCAGCTTATGACACTAGAAGAGGTTATCTTATCCAATAACAAGATCCCCACTGTTCCATGGTTGGTAAAACAACTGAAGAACCTGAAGATACTAAGGCTACAGTTCAACAAACTGAATGAATTTCCGGAACCGATATGTGGGATGGATTCTCTGGAGGAGGTCAACCTGGGCAACAACAGGATCTCCATTGTTCCATGGTGGGTAAAACAACTGAGGAACCTGAAGATACTAAGGCTACATTGCAACAAACTGAATGAATTTCCGGGACCGGTATGTGGGATGGAGTCTCTGGAGGAGGTTAACTTGTCCAATAACCAGATCCTGACAATTCCACTAGAAGCAAAACAACTTAAAAATCTGAAGGAACTAAGGTTGCGCAACAACAATTTGGTAAATATTCCTTTATCGTTGTGTGAGCTGAAGACACTAGAAGAGATTTACCTGGACAATAACAAGATCAGTGCAGTCCCTCCACAAATAGAACAACTGAAAAAACTCAGGATACTAGGGCTGTGTAAGAACAATATAGATGAATTTCCAAAGCCTGTATGTGAACTGGAAACACTAGAAGTAGTTGACCTGGAAGGTAACAGCATCACCACAATTCCGCCAGAGGTTCGACAACTGAAGAATCTTAAGGTACTTAAGCTGAAAAACAACAGGCTACGAGAATTCCCAAAACCAGTATGTGAGCTGGATACACTAGAAGAGATTGACATGAGCCATAACAACATAACAACATTGCGACCAGAGGTAAAACAGTTGAAAAAGCTGAAGAAACTAAGACTGAACCACAACCATCTGAACGAATTTCCTGTTACACTATGTGAGCTGGAACCACTAGAAGAGGTTTACTTGGACCATAACAACATAACAACAGTGCGACCTGAGGTAAAACAGCTGAAAAAGCTGAAGAAACTAAGACTGAGCCACAACAACCTGAAAGAATTTCCAGCTACACTATATAAACTGGAACCACTAGAAGAGGTTGACTTGGACCATAACAACATCACTATGGTTTCTTCAGAGGTTAAAAATCTACAGAACCTTAAGATATTACGGATGTGCAACAACGGGCTGGATAAATTCCCTGTACCATTATGTAAGCTGGAGACACTAGAAGAGGCTTACTTGGACCATAACAACATCACCACAGTCCCATCACAGGTAAAGCAACTGAAGAATTTGAGAAAAATATGGATGCGCAGCAACAATCTGGTCGAATTCCCAGTAACATTATGTGAGCTGGAGAAAATTAAAGGAGTTTTCTTGGACAATAACAAGATCACCGCTCTCCCAGCTCTGACAACACTCAGCAGAATACGAAGTTTAAGTCTTAAGTCTAACAGTATTACTAAGATTTCAGAGGAAATAGGCAAAATGATGCAGCACTTAGAATCTCTTAACTTAGAAAACAACAAGTTGGAAAAATTACCTGAAGGGATGCGATTCCTATCATCTCTAAATGAGTTTTGCCTGGGGGGTAACACACTGATTCAGCCACCGGAAGAGGTAGTCAAAGAAGGCAGAGAGGCAGTGTTCCGATATCTTGAAGATCTGGCACAAACCAGAGCAGAGAAAGCATCAAGACTTCAGGTTCAGGTGCTAGGAGAAACTTGTGTAGGAAAAACAAGTCTGGTGGGAACACTCACAACGGGAGAGCCCTACTTGACCCTTGAAGCAGACAGAACGCATGTCCTGCAGCAAAAATCATGGGTGCCACAGGAGGATATCTTCTTGAATATCAATGACTTCGGTGGTCATTCAGTCTACAAAGTTGCACACAACTTTTTCTTGACCAAAAATGCATTATCTTTGGTTGTTTTTGATATCTGTTTGAACATACCTGAGAAGTACCATCGTGATATAGGAACTTGGATTGAAAACATTTATTACAGATCACCAGAATCAAGAATTTTACTAGTAGGAACTCATGCAGACTTCCTTAGTGTTAAAGAAATACAGACAAAGAAGGAAAATATCAAGGGAGCGTGGAAAGCACAATTAGAAAAGAGACAATCCAGATTGAAAGCAGCCTGTGACACGTTGCGTAAAAAAATGAGAAAACAGAAAGAGCTTACAGAGGCGTATCGTACTAAATTAGATCACATAAGAAAATCAATGAAAAACCCACCACAGGTTTGTGAAGACATATTTGTCACAAGTTCCAAATCACAATATGGAATTGAGAACCTTAAAAATGAATTGATCCGAATAGCAAAGCAAAAGGCCATCATATTACCAGGATCATGGTTGAAAATAGTAGAGAACATCGAAAAAGCTAAACACAGTGGGACAGAATCTGTTTTGTCCATGGATTCCATTGGAGAAATAAACGAAGAACACGAACCTCCCCCTAAAGTCGCCAGAATTGCAGAGGCATCAACCAGCAAAGAACGAGACAAATCAGAGAGTCAGAGGATGGAAGATGTAATTTCGTTTCTGCATGATACTGGCGTGGTTTTGTGGTTCAAAGCCAATCCTTTGCTGCGACAGGTCATTTTTCACAAACAGGATGTGCTCATAAACCTCTTGAAGGCAGTCCTCCGCCATGATCTTGCATCCATCCTCGTATATGATACTAAACCCTTCAGTGAGAGATTTAGCGGACCGGGGTTTGAATCTGCAAAACAGGATGCGCTGAAACGAGGTATTTTGAGCACAACATTGCTTGAATGTTTGTGGGAGAAGTATGACCTAGGGACACCAGGATTTTTAGCAATGCAGAAATTACTGAAGGACTTCGAGGTGTGCTATGTGGTTAAAGGCGAGGAAGAAGATATGATTCATTTTCCGTGGATCTTGGAAGAAGGTCGCCCAAAAGATCTTTCCTCCAAATGGCAGACTACACCCCTTCCCCGAGATGCATTGCAAATTTCCACCGAGGTCCATTTTGCCGGCCCCTGCCCAATAGGGCTGTATGAAACGGCTGCTGTACATCTCCATGAACACTTGAAAAACTTCAAATCAACACGTATAGACTGGAAGGATGGTTTCTATGCCCAGCTTGGTGTTTATCTCCGAATGACACTTGAAAGGGAATGTGTAGGAAACCCAGCCAATGGAATACTAAGGCTTTCCATGCGGGGGGACAATCTTCACCAACTCAAAGAGTCTTACCTTAAGTTATTCAAGGACTTAACACAGTTGATAGAAAGAGAATGCCCTGGTGCAACTCGAGTTGAATATGTGGTGTGTCCACATTGTTTACATAATGAGGAAACATCTCCATCACTTTTTGAAATACCAGAGCGATTTCTTAATGTTTCACTGGAAGATAGGGCATGTTATCACCCTTGCCCAGAGGAAGATCCAAGTTTCATGGCCTCGGCGGATTTCTATTATCCTGTGACGGAGGGTACGTTAATATTACAGTCAGTTATAAGCGGTAGTATTGTTATCCAAAATGGATGAAATTGCCACATTATCAGTTGGCAGAAAACTTTGAAACTGAACATTCTACTTTGTTTATTTTAAAAATAGTATATTTAATATAACGTGCTTCCCTACTATCTTGGTAGGTGCCATGACCGATCTCCACAGTACAGCCCTGAGGATACATGCTGTACAAATGTATAAAGACATCAGTGGTCTATCCCGGCCCCTCCAGGAGATAATGAATCGACTTGTGAAAGAAAAGATACTCAAAGAGCAAGACGGGAGATCCATCCTAGAGCCAGATGGAACAATCAGTCTTTTCAGCATCCTTAAAGGAAAGAGGGACTCAGCATTCTACATCTTCTGTGGAGCCTTACATGACAGTGGGAAACATGAAACTGCGAGTCTTCTGATGTAGGTTGACGTTTTGTTCCTACCAGCTATACTGACTTTTAATGTGTTTATCAAGTTAGATATTTCCTGGGTAATTTTTCCATTTTTTATTTCATTTACAGGCAGTTGGTTCACATTTAATTATACTGGATTGGTTTTTGGCGTATCTTTTATAATGCAATTCATTATATGCCTCCAGAGGACTGCCCAAGGAACATTTGCTTGAAAGCATTAACCGATTTCCAATTTTTTCATGTTCCACTGAAAAACTACTTTTGTATGACAAATTTCTTTTATTTTGTTTTGAATGTAAATCATGCACTCCATTATAGGTTATCAGATTTGGCAGTGGATCTTGGGGAAGATGGTCTGAAAGAAGCGCTGACAACTTTGTTGAATGAGGGTGTACTAACACAGGAGGAGGAGAATGCTGTGCTTTATAAATCATGGCGACAGCTTTCGCGTAAGGTGGAAGTTCTTCTTCAAAAATTGAGCGACAAAGTTGGCTATTTACGGGATGAGGCCTTTTTTAATTTTAAGAAAGTTGTTTATGAGATTGAAAGGAAACATCGACAGGACAAGACACACCCTTCAAATTTACCCGAATGTGATAAGTTGGAATTGCTTCAAAAGCTCGAAAGAGACCCAAAATATTCTGATCCAGATTTTGAAGAAAAAGAGATGTGGACAAGCCTTAATCTACAAAGAATTGGAACCAGAATTCCACAGAGTATATCTCGCTGTGCCAGCATTGAAAGACTTGATATATCTGGTAATGGAATCCTTGACAAGGCAACATGGGAGACCATATACACACTAAGAGCTCTAAAAGATTTAAAAGCATCTGAGTGTGGAGTAAATGCGGTCTCCTTGAAAATTGGTCATCTGGCAAACCTGAAAAAATTAGATCTGTCCAAGAACCACTTGAATGAATTTCCATTATCAATATTTACGCTTGAAAGACTGATAGAGCTTGACCTTAGCCATAGCAACATCACCACAATTCCACCAGAGGTACAACAACTAAAGAATCTGAAGAAATTAAACATGTCCCACAACAGTTTGAAAGAAATCCAGGCAAGAGTATGTAAGCTGGAGACATTAGAAGAGCTCCACCTGAGTCATAACAAAATTGCCACAGTTCCACCAGAGATAGAACAACTGAGGAGCTTGAAAGAAATTAACCTATCCAACAACGAGCTGAGAGAATTCCCGATCCCTTTATTAGGGCTGGAAACACTAGAATCTGTTTGGATGGATCATAACTACATAACCAATTTCCCAGTCTTGACTACTACCAGCAGAATAAGCGTTCTTAGTCTAAATTCCAACAATATTACTGAGGTTTCAGAGAAAATTGTTGATATGATGAATTACCTAGTCAAATTTGACTTAAGAAACAACAAATTAAAGAGATTGCCTGTACAAATACGACTCCTGTCATCTCTACGTGAGCTTCACCTTATAGGCAACAAACTAATTCAGCCACCACAAGATTTAGCAAACGAGGGCAAGGAGCCTGTGTTTCGATATCTTGACGATCTATCAAAAAGTTTGGAACAGGAAGCATCGATCCTCCAGGTCCAGGTGTTAGGAGAAACTTGTGCAGGGAAGACAAGTCTGGTGGGAACACTCACAACGGGAGAGCCCTACTTGACCCTTGAAGCAGACAGAACACATGTTCTGCAGCGAAAAACATGGATGCCCCAACAGGACGTTTTCTTGAATATCAATGACTTTGGTGGTCATTCAGTCTACAAAGTTGCATACATTTTCTTTCTGACCAATGAATCTTTGTCGTTGGTTGTATTCAATATCTGCTTGAACATAGCGAAGGACTACCACAGTGCTATAGGAACATGGATTGACAATATCTATTGCCGATCACCACAATCAAGAATTTTACTAGTAGGAACTCATGCAGACCTCCTTAATGATGACGAAAGACAGATTAAGAAGAAAGACATTATGAAAGCATGTGAAGCACACTTGGAAGGCAGGCTATCCAGCTTAAATGCAGCCTATGCCAACTTGAATGTACAATTGAAGAAACGGGAAACTCTTACAGAAACATACCACACAAAGATGGATCACATAAGAAAATCAATCGAAAACCCACCCAGAGTTTGTAGAAATATTTATGACATTAGTTCTGAATCAGGGTATGGAATTAAAGATCTTAAAGAAAAATTGATCCAGGAAGCAAAGAAAAAAACAATTATACTACCAAGTTCATGGCTGAAAATTGTGAATCACATTGAAGAGACTAAACACAGTGGGACAGAATCTGCCTTGTTCATGACTTCTCTTCAGGAAATGAATGAAGAACATGAATCCGCCCCTCAAGTTGCCAACATTGAAGAGGTTTCGACAAGCAGTGGAATAGAATCGGTCTTGTTCAAGACATATCATAAGGATATGAACAAAGATCAAGGATCTTCTCCAAAAGATGCCAAACTTGAAGAAGTGTCAACTAGCAATGGAAAAGAACACGCTTTGTTTATGACTTCACTTCAGGAAAGGGACAAAGAGTACGAACCTCCCCCTAAAGTTGCCAGAATTGAAGAGGCTGAAGACGTGCCGACTGGCAGGTTTAGGTACCCAGACACAGAGAGTCGGATAATGAGAGATGTCATGTCTTTTCTACATGAAACTGGTGTGGTTTGGTGGTTCAAAGATGAGCCGTCGTTGCAACATGTTGTATTTCACAAACTGGACAAAGTCATAAATTTGTTGAAGACAGTACTCTGTCGCAACCTAGAATCAATCCTAGAACACTATACAACGCCATTCAGTGAGAAGTTCACCAAACTTGGGTTTAAGTCTGCAAAACAGGATGCTCTAAAACGAGGTATCTTGAGCGCAACATTGCTTGAATGTTTTTTGGAGGAATATAATCAAGGACCAGAGATATTTTCTGCAATGCTGAAATTACTGGAGATCTTTCAGATTTGCTATGCTGTCAGAGGTAAGGACACGGGAGAAGAAAGGTTTCATCTCCCATGGCTCCTGGAAAAAGATCGCCCAAAAGTTCTCTCTCCAAAATGGCAAATGCCCCTTTCCCGAGATACATTACAAATTTCCATAGAGGTCCGTTTTTCAGGTCCCTGCCCTACTGGACTGTATGAAATGGCTGCCGTCCATTTTCATGGACATTTGGGAAACTTCAAATCAACGCGTGTAGACTGGAAAAATGGTTTCTATGCTCAGCTTGGTGATTGCCTCCGAATGACACTTGAAAGGGAATGTGCGGGAAATTCAGAAAACGGAATACTTAGGCTTTCCATGCAAGGGAACAATATTCACCAACTCCAAGAGTCTTGTCTAAATGTGTTTATGGCTTTGACTCAGCTGATAGAGAGAGAATGCCCTGGTGCATCCCGAGATGAATATTTAGTCTGTCCGCATTGTATGCATGAAGAGATAACACCTCCATCACTTTTTGAATTACCAGATCAATTTCTCAGTGTCCCGTTGGAAGATAAGGCATGTTATCACCCATGCCGAGAGGAAGAGCTAGGTGTTATGGCCTCAGCAGATTTCTATTATCCTGTGACAAATGGTAAGCTTACATCACTATCAGTTATGGGTTGTCTATAAATAGTATAAATATGTAGAAAATGGGTAAGGGTGAAAGAAAACAGTCAAACTTTACCTTTTATTATATACAGTGTTTCGATGATTTATTTCATATATGTCGGACATGTAGCTTGATTATTATTCCTTATAGGAAACATAACCGATCTTCACAGTGCGACCCTAAGAATACACGGCGTACAAATGTTTAAAAACATTAGAGGTCCATTTAGGCACCTCTGGGAGATACTGAGTCGACTTGTGAAAGAAGGGATACTCACAGCGGAAGAGAGGAGTTCTATTGGAGAACCAGACGAACTTTTCAGCATCCTTAAAAGAAAAAGGGACTCTGCGTTTTACATCTTCTGTGGAGCTTTACATGATAGTGGATATCATGAAACTGCAAGTCTTCTGAGGTAGGTCGGCGTCACTCACTTCCCAGTTTTGTAAAATATTATCTAAAACATCAAGTAATGTGGCTACAGTGCCTTTTTATTGTTACATGTAGGGTTGTATTTGCTGGTTTCAGTAATAAACGTGCCGTCACTTGTGTCATCAATAGTTTGATTGTTGACATATCTTGGACAGATTCCACACTATTTCATGCTAACAGAAGTGGAAAAGAACGCAGACAAAAAGATTGACTGAAAGCAGTAACTAACCTGTGTCCATGCAATTACTACATATTCCACTAAAAAACCGTTTTCCTTAATGACACATTCATTTTACATTGAAAATATTATACACCGCATTCTAGGTTATCAGATTTGGCAGCGGACCTCGGAGAAGATGGTCTGAAATCAGTACTGGAAATTTTAATGTCTGAGTGTGTCCTAACAGAGGAAGAAGTGAACTCCGTGCATCACGAATCAGGGGGACAAGTTTCGCAGGAGGTAGAATTACTTCTTCAAAAGTTGAGTGACAAAGTACCCCATTTACGGGATGACCCTTTTTCTAAATTCAAGAAAGCTGTATATAAGGCTGAAAGGAAAAAACGTTCAGGTAAGATACCATTCAGTCTAATTTTTAGTTAATGATTTTAAAGATGTTGAATCAACAATATGTTTGTCTTTGCTGAGCACATTATTTATGGAATTCTTCATATTTATCATCACAAAAAACCGTATTGTCAACGTTTTAAGGTCACGTAGTGTCACTAGAGTATATTGGTATGCTTCTAAAAGTCATGAGAATGGTCACGAATAAAATACTGTAAAGAGTATTGGTACCGTAAAACACGCAATTCATTATTTCTTCCTTTCATATCCTTTCTTTAAGGTTCAAGAGTGCGTTTGGACACAGAGGTGCTGTACAGCAGAGAACATTGTCAACAGGACACGTGATAACCAAATTTGACAGATGCCATTACTGACAATTTCAGGTACAATTTGAGAACTTTAATGAGATTCAATTTGAATCCTTTATACCCAATTACAGTACCCAATAGAATCTGTGGTGCCAAATTTTCTACCAAAATGCTTATTAAGAAACTTTTCCAAACTGGCAGAGTTCGCGTATGCGGAGAAAGGTTTAATAGTGACTACCATAAAATCAGCGGGAAAATGGGCAATTTGGTGGTATAGAGATTGACTGGACAGGGCAATGTTTACGAATGTATCAGGGCGAATAATGACTACATGCATAAAAACACTGGGACAATGGTGTAATATTTGAGATGCTGTGACAGCAGATTCCTGTATATTCAACCTCCAGAGTTGTATATTTAATATTTAGTTCCACCTAGCTGGTTTGTAGAATATTTGAACAAGTTCATACAAATGTTGTAAATTTGAAATTTTAGCTAATAGTGATTTCATTTTGGTTCATGGTGTTTTTAGATGTTATGAATGTTTTAAGAAAATCAATCCAAATTCATAGTTTGCATCTAATTATAGCCTATGGTATGCACGTCCACGATAATGGGTAACAACAATGAGACATGGGCATCAAAATGTCAACATGGTAAAGATCTAGTGAGCACACTTTCCACTTAGAATATGAACCGTATTTGATTTATATTCATAAAATTTGGAAAGTGTAACGTTAAACACATACAGTTTAAAAATTATCAGGGAAGAGTACGCTTAACTTCACATAGATGGGAAAACATACTGCGATACTGAATCAGGGTTAAGCAGCGATGACATGAAATCGTCTCTCATGAGTAGGCCTAATAACCGAAAAGTGAGAAATGGCTATAGTTAATTCCATTAGTCACATTTAATTCATGTTACCGGGTCATCACGTCATCAATGGACACTGTGTACGCTAGGTCACTGGGCCTAATGGGAATGGGGAAACACACTACACGCTAGTTATGATTTTGCTGTCGCGCGTCTGAAAACGAAACAAGATTAGGTCATAACATCTGTGATTCTACACTCACTTCCTTACACATTGTTGTACTACGAAAAGCATATTATTTGTTATAATAAGACAAATCCATCCCTTTTATGATGAAAGCACACCCACTGTAATCCAACACAAAAGAATATTTTGGCAGTCTCTCAAAGATGATAACCAATTGTTGTTACCCAGTATCAATGGCGAGTTATATTTTGTACATAAACAGCTCATTTCTCATCACATTGTTTTACTAGTTTCATGGCAATATTAAAAAATACTTCTGTGTTATTTGATATTTGTAAAGCATATGGATATTAGGTACCTACAGGGGGGAATTGTATCAGGTTGAAGAATCTTATAGGAAGTTCTGAGCTCCTCGTTTATTGTATATATCCTTGAAAAAAGTCACATTTTTTCGTCATTTTAGATTGGTGTTTTATTCCATTATCATACATGTACAGTGGGACAACCTTTTTGACCAATGTTGTCTATTAATTGATACGAAATTTAACTGCATGTAAATAACTCCATTTATGTTATAGTATTGAATTAATTTCTATCTACGTTTAAGGTTAAAATTGTGTAAAATAATTAGAAACGGCTGCATGGGTGTATCCTAACAACAGTTTTCAGTCAATTTTTAGATTTAAGGATGGACGAATGCACTGCTGTCACTGTATTTATTTGTAAGTATGTGCTTTAAAATGAACTTTTTGTACATATGCACATTTCTTGAATTAATTTATTTAGTTTAGATTTTTTTCAAAGGAATGTGATGGAAATAATTTTTTTAATTTTAGAATTATGATTAATTTTACATTTTGTTAAAAACGGTATCACAAACTGAATGGTGGCAAACTATTAATTAACGAAAAGTGACATTTTAGTATTTTAAAAGCTTTTCAATTGTTTTGGTAGATTATGGTGACAAATCCTATCACTTCTTATAAACACGGAATCAAATTATAGAATTAATGGAAGTATGAAAAACACTAAGAGCAATAGAATTTTGTTTATGGGGTTTATCTTAGCGATAGTTTTATATTGACTTTAGTATTAATTAATAAAATATTTCTGAAATATAAATCACTGTTTCCTTTTACCCTTTGTTTGTCAAGTGTGAGAGTGATTTTCTCCAGTAATTGTGGGTTTGTTAAATATACCAAAAATTGGAAATATTAAATTTTTCTTGGTAACAATGTCTTAAATCGAACAGATGGGACAATACAGACCACAGATCAATATATCATAAAATCCAAGGAGTTTTGAATTAAAATACCCTGTAAACACTTTGATGGAGACTCTGGAAGTTATATAACATCGTATAATCCACCGGAGGTTAAGAACGGTGTCCAAATGACGAACCTTTTCTTTATTTTAATCTTTTATAAAATTTGCATGGTTCTTTCATGAATTTTAATGACACAATGTTCTTGTTGCAGAAATAAAAATATTGTGACAGTGATCACAGATAAGAACTCGAGGATAGGGGCATGAATTAAATTTATTTTCTTTCATTAAGCCCGGACGTGTTCGTTCTAGATAATGATTAAATGAATGAAAAGTGAAGAACTCTTTCAGGGCAAAAATTGATTACTAATAAAAATGTGCTTAAGGATTTATTGATACAAGTAATTAAAGTGCATGTTGTTTCTTTTATGTTTTTTTCTATACAACATGGCTACTTCGGTCATACGTTTTAAATACGTAAACAAAACTAAACAGAAAATAGTTCAAAGACCCCCCATCAAGAAGCAAACAAAATGTCCTCAATTTAACTGCAAACTTGCTTGTTATTGAAATATATAAATATATCGATTTGAAACCAAAAGGTGATCGGCGTTATTTACACCTGACAATTTGAAAAAGACGGGCATCAGCAGCGAGACAAAACGTTGGGTCCTGTAGCCTCAAAAATATTGCCCTGGGCGTCGTAAGTTTTAATAATCTTTTCTATTTTCATAATGAGATACAACGGTTTCAATTACAATCACTATAAACCTTACACGAAAACAATGGTGGACCAAAACGTTCCTGAGTAGACGATTGACTTGGATCGAAATCCATTAAACAAATTTTTGTTAATCAAACACAAATTAACAGCCCGACAATTTTTTTTCAAGAGCTACAACCACTATCTTATTCTTCTGTTACACTTTGCTGGTGTAGAACTGGGTCATGTAATTAAACATCAGCCTAAGGGGGAAAATATCGATGTCAATTTTTATCATCAATGATTTTTAAATTAATTTTATTGAACCTTCATTAATACAAGGCTTGTCATGATCGAAACTGCTTGTCTTTCTAACCCAGCTATTGGACATGTATTAGATAAACATCCTGCGTCAACCAGTAATGTTACAGCTATTCTGCATCTAATCGAAGTTTGCATATTATAAAAATCAATAAGGAAAAATAAGTGGCTCAAAAGGGTCCGCTTTAGCTTTATTTGATTAAAAAGGGTCACACTACCTGGGGGACAATACTTTTAGTTTCACTCGGGAGCTTGTTTACTAGGTTTTATATGGATGCACACCACGAGAGTGACTACCCGTTTCCAGGCTGTGTAGCGGCAAAAAGGGGTGCCTTGAGCTTTGTAAGTTTTCGATTCTTTTTTCTACTTTTATCACGAGAGACGAGAGCGTCATACCACATTATCATGATAAATCCCAGATGGAAATAACAAGCACGAAATTTTAAGCAGATACACCGTGGTTGCATGGCGCTTGAATCATCAAACCATTTTTTGCTTATAAGTATTTCCCATAAAATCATCTGTACTAGAATCTCTGATGCTGTTATTGTTATTTATCTTCATATATTTAACGACACAGCTTTTATTTTGAAAGAAATTTAGCGGTCAGCATATTTATTAAGATTGTATTCATACAGAAGGCCAATCGCCTTTTACACTATGTGAGAGACTAGAGGTGTAGACCCGAGCACATTTAAATATATCATCGACCGTGAGTGTCCTCTCTTCATTCTTAAGAGATCTGTGCCATTTGTAGCTTTTACTGAATCGTGTCATTGATATCAACGAAAGCAGATTGTAATATGTCTAAATATTGTTCAAAACTGCACTCCTTTCTAACAAAAGTTATAAACAATGGAGTTCACGCTTGTCATTATTCCTGTCTTTACCATAACAACACGTAGATTTATCAACCCTTGCCGGCAGTGCAGAGCTGGAGGTCGTGGGTGCGACCCGTGAAGGGACATACCGCCATTCATTATGAAACCGTTTTGTTGGTCTTTGCTGGGGGTCAGTTGTGGAACTGGGTCTCGTCATAACACACAAGTAAGTGTATGCGTCGTCTCTTTTTAACGGAAAAAGATATTGATCTCATTTCTGATCATTTCTGAATGTTTTATTATCATTGAGCTCACGTTAACAATACCAGACTTGCTGGGGTAGGGAGATTAGTCTAATTCTCTCTCGGTGCATGTATTATTCTGTATTTGTAGCATTTACATCGCAGACTTTTTCCAAATATTCTGTGTATTATGTAACGCAGTTAGTAGCAAGATGAGCTACGTGAGATGCTAAATTTTTGAGGTCTTTATTACTGGCGGTGCCAAAAATTGATTTACTGATTTCAGCGACGAATGGAAATATGCTGCGTTTAGATCTAGATTTTGCCGAAATTTTCTCCACATTTAAATTTGATAGTAGAGGGTCGATTACTTGAGACATATCATGCATTGATTTCATAATGTCGCTTCGGATGTTTCTAGCCGTCTTTAAACCTGAACGATATAAATTACAAACTTCTCCAGATCTACAAAGATGAATTGGATGATTTTTAACGTTAAAGTCGGGCATTACTAATTCATAGGTATGAGACCAATATTCCACATTTGGCAAGATTTTACCAATAGGAGTAAATACTGTGCCATAGTTGACTCTATGGATGACGTCATTGTCGAGGTTGAGTGCAGTAGCCTGGCTGACTGTGATCATACCGATGACTAGCACCACGGACAAAAGTCGTACTGACTTCATTAATTCCTTGAATGTAGATGTCGCATATGTCGAAGCATTTCCGTTGCATATATCCATCTCATCTGTTGAAGAGAGAAAAAGAGTTTAAAGTAAAGAAAGGAGGGGCCCTTGATGAGATGGTTATTGCAATCGGTTACTTCGCGTAGTAATGTATGACCGGTCATAACATATGCACGATGACTGACATAATTAATAAGCACTGCCGAATCTTAATTTCATTGAATGTGTGGATTTTGCTGTAGTACAAATGACATTGGGTGTCCGTACGTGTCAGTATATAAAACATTGATACTGAATATCTGGGTTGATACGATAGAAACCTCTTGGTGAAACATACTAGAATATATCGTAGACGTGTAATTAATGGGAACACGTGACGCCGACTTTATGAATAGTAATTATTCCGAATGAATTCATCTTTTACGTGGTTTGCCTTGAAGCGTTCTGTTAACATGAAATTCTCGTATCAAAGCTTGAGAAACGTTGGAATGAGGCTCCCATGATGGAGGGTAATTGCCTTTCCATTTCACCAAATAATGCTTAACACCTTTAATGGGTTTGCATTTGAGAAGTTTCTCGACTTCAAACCATTCATCTGGATCTGGGACAATTTGTTGTTGCTCAGGAGGGGGTGTAACGTTTTGAGCTTCAGGGGTGTTCGAATTGTTTTGTGGTAATTCATTTTCGTCGTGAACAGGCTCTGGTAAAGGAGCTCGTGGTCTAAGCGGACGGTCTTCAGGGTCGTGATATAATTTCAGTCTGTTCGCATGTACAGGTGACGGGTGAAGTTTGTTCGTACTACAGTCGCGTAACTTGAACGTGTAACTAGAGACACGATCTGTGATATAGTAAGGACCAACAAATTTAGCCGTCAGTTTAGGACTTCGGCCCTTCTTGACACGTGACCATTTTAGTAAGACTCTGTCACCTATGTGAAAGGCTGGAGGGGCTGCCGTGCGATCATATAAGCGCGTATATTTCTGTTGCGCTTGCGTTCTGTTGTCATGGGCAATTTGTGCTAATTCCAAATTTTTCTGAATGTTTTCTATATAGTCTTCTACTGATTTTGGTAAGGAATCTGGAGGTTTTAAAAGTGATTCCAGCGGAGTATTCATTTCTTTTCCGTACATCAAGTAGAAAGGTGAAAATTCAGTAGACTGCGTTGCAGGTGTAGCACGTAATGCCATGAGTACCCCTGGGAGAATCTGTGGCCAATCGTCTTGATTTTGATTGCAATATATTCTAATTGATTGGGCTAGCGCTGAATTCTGTCTCTCTACAGCACTGTTGCTGGCAGGGTGAAAACTGCTTGTTAACGCCCTTTTGACATGAAATAACTCACTCAATGTCTGTACCAGCAGGGACGTAAAATTACGTCCGCGGTCAGTGACTATGACCTTGGGTGCTCCATATCTACAAAAGATCTCAGAGTAAAGAATTCGAGCTACTTCCTCTGCTGTCTGGGTCTTTAAAGGGAAAGCTTCAGGCCAAGCCGAAAAGGAACAAACAAGTAAAAGAATGTACTTGTAACCTTCACGTGATTTGGGCATAACTAATATGTCCATGTGAAGTCTGTCCCATACACCAGTTATTGGGAGTGGCTGAAGAGGAGCGGGTCTTTGGCCATGGTGACGTTTTGCCTTTTGACATGAGTCGCATGTTTTTACATACTGAAGTATTTCAGTATACATGCGGGGCCAATAGAATCTGTTTCTGATCAACTGATAACTTCTGTCAAACGCAAAGTGAGCGCCAGACGCTAGGCTATCATGGTAGGCTTGTAAAACGTCATCTCTGTATTGAGTGGGCACTGCTAATTGGCGTATGATATTTCGTTCTGTGCCGGACGTTCTAGAACGAGGTTGATAAATATGAAAAAGGAGGTCCTTATCCATAATGTATTGATCCGATTCATAAATTGTCTTTCTCGCCAATTTGGCGTCATCTGGGAGAGTGCCATTTAGCAAAAAATATGTTTGAAGTCATCGCATTGTCGTTGCATTTGGGCCAATTGGGATAATTGTTCTTTTTCCACAGAGGGAAAAATGGTGAAAACATCAGGCTCTGAGTTGGCAATGATATGTTGAATAATGTTAACTGGAGTACCTGTTTTCGTGGGGCCCATATCATGAATAAATTTTGTGTCAATTTCTTGTGTTGAGTCAACCGAAGGCATGGCCGTAAAAGCTTGAATAGGCTCAGAATTTTGGTAAGTGCGCCGTGACAATGCGTCAGCGGGATTTTTATTACCTGCAAGGTGTACGATTGTATAATCGTATTCCTGCAAAGCAAGAGCCCATCTGATCAAACGGGGTGAAGAATGTTTGATTTGCTTTAGCCATTTAAGTGCTTGGTGATCGGTATAGATCGTAAAGGGTTGACTAGACAGATAAACGTGGAAAGCTTTAACACCTTCTACGACTGCTAGACACTCAAGTTGTGTAATCGGGTACAGTTGTTCAGACGCCGATAAAGATCGGCCACCGTAACTAATTGCACATTCACGTCCCTTATCGTCTAACTGACCCAGGATGTATCCTAGTGAATGCCCAGAGGCGTCTGTTGTCAATATAAAGGGTTTTGACATGTCGGGAAATTTGAGAATTGGAGGGTTTACTAACGCCTGTTTTAGTGTGTTGAAAGCAGTGTCACATTCCTTGGTCCACTGAAATTTTACTTCTTTATGAAGTAAACCGTTTAAAGGCTTTGCAATGTGGCTGTAACCTTTGATAAAACGGCGATACCATGTCGTTAAGCCCAAGAAACTACGGACTTGTTTGACATTAGTGGGGGTAGGAAAGGACTGAACTGCTTCTGTCTTTGAAGAATCTACCTGAATACCATCTCGAGATAAATTATGTCCAAGATAAAAAACTTTTGGGACACAAAATGAACATTTAGAGGGCTTTAACTTCAGGTTAGCCTCTCTCAAAATGTGAAACATTTCTTGCAGATGTGCCAGGTGATCTTCGAATGTTTTTGAAAAACAGAGAATATCATCGATGTAAATGATGACATTTTTCCAATTCATGTTCCGAAATATGTTACTCACTAGATATTGATAGCTTGCTGGAGCATTTTTCAGCCCAAACGGTAAACGTTTGAACTGATATTGACCACTATGCGTGACAAACGATGATTTTTCTTTAGAGTCGTCTGATAACGCTATGGTCCAAAATACTGTATTGATGTCAACCAAGGAAAAGTAAGTTGCCTTGGAATCAGCTATCGAGTCGAAAATGTCCTCTAACCGTGGGAGAGGAAAGCTGATTGATTTAGTAACAGCATTCAATTTCCGATAATCAATTGCAAATCGAAAGTCACCTTGTTTCTTGCGTACCAAAATAACAGGTGAAGACCAAGGAGAAGTGGAAGGTTCAATGATATCATGATGCAGCATTTCATTTATCTGGCGATCAATTTCAGCTTTTGCTTGAGGAGTTGTTCTATAAAACCTTTGGGTGATTGGGGGAATGATCACCGGTATCAATAGTATGTTTGTAAACGGGCACATGACCTATTTCAGACAAATTGTGACAATAATTGGTCCTGTTGATCAGATGTGAGATGAGATAACTCAAAGGGGATTTTAAGTTCTAAGGCCGCTTTCTTATCTTCCTCACTGATCGGTTTAATGGTAGGGGGCTGAGTGGGAGTGAAGTTAAGGTGGTGCAAATTACCTGCGCTTATGCGTGACACTTTAGCCACAATGGAGTTTGCATAGATTGTATAACTATAAGGCGTAGTGTTAGCAACGCGGTAATAACAGTGACTGTTAGTCAAGGTATTGATGGTAGAAGCACAAAATATAGTATTCAAATTTGAGGACGGTTCTAATAGAACAAGCGTCGAGCCACCCTTATCAGGACGTATGCGGGAAACCTGAACTTGCACTAACCGTTCCGTGAAAGGGTCTACGGTCACAGTAGATTTTGATCTAGCAAGTCCTAAATTGTCTGAAATCGTCAAACATACCGTGCTATCGGGATAGCGTAGAGTCAATGCATGTTTTTGTAAATCAATCACCGCACTATGGTCGTGTAGAAAATCCAAGCCAATAATCAAAGGTCGGGGTAATATTGGAACAACGCAAAAAGTATGGGTATATGCCACATTACCGATGAAAAATTTGAGACATGCAAGGCCCAAAATTGTTTGCGCGTCGCCACTCACTCCAATTACTGTTGTGATTTTAGAGGGAGGGGCAAGGTCAGAAAAAGGAATGCCTAAAGTTTGAAACGTTTGTTTGGAAACACAACATATGCTAGCGCCAGTATCAAGAAGACCATTGAACTTTTTGTTTTTGATTGTAATAAAAAGAGAATTTTGTAAAGATTTTTCCGATATCGTACCAATAGATCCGGCCTGTTCTTGCGACACTACTCGTCATTGTTTCTTAGATGACCTACACACTTTCGCCAAATGACCAACTTTACCGCAATTTCTACATGTTAAATGAAAAGCAGGACAGAATCTACGTAAATGAAACTCACCACCGCAACCAGAACATGGAGTCCGTTTCTGTTTATTATAACGTTGATTCCATTGGCGTGTCTGTTGACGTTGAAAACGTGGAGGCATTGTCTGATTTCGCTGCGCTTGAGGAACACGTGGGCGTAACTCGTAGTCGCGGAAAGGAACACCGGGATGGGGCGCTGATCGGTACTCTGAAGATCTTGGTCTGTCATTTGGAGCGTGTATAGGGTTCAACTGTGCGGAGTTGGGCTGCGACGTGGCTAACTGAGAAATTTTGTTGTTGATTTCAGTCAGCTGTGTACCCAGGGCTGTTAAAGTCGCAGCGGAAGCTGAGGGTTGAACCGCTGTTTCGGCCTGTCGAGCGCGAGCGATTAGATCTTCAAAGGTTTTAGGCTCGTGCTGCGCTACCAACGGTCGAATCTCAGGCAGTAGGCCATGAAGAATGGCCTGTATAGTTTGCTCATCCGGTAATTTTACTTTTTGGGCTTCCCTACGTACATCAGCAATGTAGTCTTGTACGGCCTGTGACGGTTTCTGGCAACGCTGAAATAAGCTAGAAACAGTAGCCCACTTTGAACTCGCTGTCGGCTGGAATCTAGTTTTGAAGGAATCAGCGATATTGTCCATTGTGTTTTTCTCATCGTCAGAGAGCGTATCAAACCAATCTAGGGCAGCGTTTCGGAGAAGTAGAGGAAACGATGAACGTTGCTGTGCGTCTGTTAAGCCTTTAAACTTTGCATAGTTCATAAAGTGCGATAACCAACGATCAGGGTCCTCATTTTGAGTGCCGTGGAATTTTTCAGGCAACAAGCTTAAATCTGATGTCATATCGTAGGTGGGCGGAGGAAGGGTTGACGGAGCGGAAGATAACGAGGTGACGGAAGACGTCGAGTCTCTATCACTTTCTGTATCTGACGAAGCAGCTGATTCTAAATCTTGCTCTGAAGGTGGCTGAGGAGCTTCAATTGAAATTGTTGGCGGATCAACAGGGTTGTCGGTAGTTGTTTTTCCGCTAGTTGTTGGCTGTGGTTGAAAAAGGCTTGCTAGGTCTGGAGACGAGGAGCGGGAACGGGAGGTAGACGTTGGTGAGTTGGGTTCACGAGGTGTGGGGAACGACTGTTTAAGTGCTGTTAACGACACTTTCTTACCTGACGTTCGAAGCCTGGTATTTGCGGAAGGCGTTGACCAATAGCTCTCTGGCCTCGCTGACATCTGAAACAGGCAGGGAGGTCTGGAAACAACAGGTTTCTCCACCACTTTTGTAACGGGGCCGGTGCGGTGCGTTTTGGCGTATGCGCGAGGATCGTAAGAATGACACAACAGTATACAATAGCTTTCCCTATTAATACAGTTTATTTCTTTCACCCGTTACATATATCGGGACATCTAGCTTAGGTATGCACAGCGCTACGGTAAGACAGTGACCCAAGCGTTCCCTCAATCTAGGCTCTGATTGACCCGGCCGTCCTCAGTCCTCAGTCCCCCTTCTCGTGCCCTCGGCGTTGCTGGTCACTCTGACGTCCCTAGGATCGGTCTAGCGTTAGTTTTTTCTCTTTTCATCTTGCTACTAACTGCGTTACAATTATATGGGCGTGTTCCTCTTAAAATAGGTATCATAATCAGTTATTAACACAAATACAATTTTGATGTAACCTGTGAACTTATAAGTTGATTTATTCTCCATCTCGAGCAAAACTTTTTGGACAAATTTTTCTTCGGCATTTAAAGATATTTGAGACATTTACGTTACATACTCGACCGAATTTTCCAGTTCCATGTTGTTCAGTTATATTTTTTCTACTGTAAACATGCTTTAAAACACCAAGTTTAGGCGTTGCTTAAAAAGTTATAAAATAAGATAAAAGAGGTTTCATGCTTCGTAAAAGTTTGGATCTAAGATCTAATATCTGTTTATTAGATCTTAGTTTGGATTAAGAAAGATTTGAGCGTTGTTAGGTAAATAAAATGAACTTATTCTTTAATTTTACATACATTTAGTATTTGCGTTTAACAGTACATGGAATCAATGCAAGGCAACAGTTTTAGAAGAGACAGTCAACTGTGTCGTTATTTA